AAAAATGAAGCTTACAAAAAGTAACGTCCACCACCACCACCACCAATACAACAGCGCCAACAACAACAACAACAACAACAACAACAACAAAAATGTCATGTTTTGATGAAATACACATTACCAGAATAATAACTTTTTAAGTGTGTGTAAATATTTATAATACTAAGTACTTTTAAAACATATTTTACGTAATTTACATACTAACAAGAACGCATTTTGTATTTACGCTAAAGTTTACGACACTTGTTCACGGCTCTGTAAACAATATTTACAAAACACATTTATTCAAATTCAAACAGTCTGTAAATTGTTTTTTAAGCATGTTAATTTGAATATTTCACATGTGATAACGAACAAATTTCATCAAAAAAAGTTATTTTGAAAATGAGGAGTTTGATATACGTTGACACGCAACGTTTTCTGAAATTTGAACTACAAGTATTTTCTAAACAATAGCAAGCCATGCGGTTGAAAGTTGCGCATGTGTAAAGCGCATGTCTTAAGACACGGAATTTAGTGGTCTGTGGTATTCTGACAGCCATAAGAAAAAAGAGAGGCCAAACTTCTTTGTCTTGGCTTTAGAGATTCTGTGCAAAAAAACAACGGTGGCTTTCTAATGAAGACTAATGGAAATTTTAAAAATTTCCTTCTCCTTAATGTTATAAATTGCAAGAACGCAGTTGAAAACTTGCTCAGAATTTTAAACATTGTAACAAGTTTTCATTGCGAATGCCAATATTTTCGGAATTTATCGCTCCGTGGAGGGCAATTGAATTAATTTTCAGAAGACTAAGTGAAAAGCAACGTTTAATGACCAAAATATATGGGCGCACAGTCCGATAAATCATGTACTCGATTGTTAATAAACAATGTTAATTCGGTTTGTTCAAACGTTAAAGGGCACTATAAACACCGATTGTTTCAATATTTAGACAGCGTTTATAAATCAGGAAGTCCACTTTTGTGCCATTGAAAGCAATGTCATGATATATAATTGTTTAATATAAAATCCATTTAGTTACTGTCACAGCACGGGCTAGTATCCAAGAGATTGGTCAGGCAGATAGACGAAATTCAAAAGCGGTGCTGATTTATTACTGTATCACGTGATAAAATGATTATTTGATTCTAAAAAACACATTTTAAAACACAGAATGGAAGGTTAGATATTATCAGATGCTGTACGTCATTTAAACAGATTCATTTTCCCATTCAGGTTATATAACATAACCTTCCGCGATGTTATCATAAAGCAGTTTCCAGTGGTTAAATGTGGGGAAATTATTTTAAACACGATTTTTTGTTCAAATTAAATCAAGTGCAAAGCAGTAAAACAATCAAAACATTGTCCTCTATCGGCTCTGTTAAGCTTTTAATGTGTTTGCATATAAAGAAAAAAATTAAAGTGTACATTTTTTTTAATTTTATTTTGAAAATTGGTTATCATACAATTGCGTTTCCCGGCGTTGCAATGTTGGTAGTCATAACACAATTGGGGATTGTAATGAAAACATAAACAATAACAAATAATAAAATAATGATTATGATAAATGATGGTAATGATGTTGTTGCCGGTGATAATGATGATGATGATGATAATAATAATGATAACAACAACAACAACAACAACAACAACAATAATAATTATAATAACAACAGCAGCAACAACAACAACAACAACAATAATAATAATGATGATAATAATAATAATAATTTTAATAATAATAATAATAATAATAATAACAACAACAACAACAATAATAATAATAATAATAATGATAATATTGATAATGATAATAATAATAATTGATGATGATGATGATGATAATGATGAGGTTTATAATAATAATATCAAAAACAATAAAATAATAAATAATAATAACAAATATAATAATTATAAAAATAGAAATATAAAAATAATAATAAAAATGATAATAAATAAAGAAAAAAAATAAATACAATAAAGATAATTCTTGAATAATGATAATGATAGTTATAATAGAATAAGAAAAAATACTATTTAATCGGAATCAAAGGTACATGTATATACATTTAACCGAAGCTTCATTGAAAACGAAAAGAAAATTTTGAGCGTCTGAAGATGCACGTGCAATGACGTCATGAATTATTAAACACGAGTAGACGTATACATCATTGCCATTAAATGAGGCAGAGAATATTGAGATTTAATAAGGCAGCGTTTCAACTGATTGAACATACAGGAAATCAATGTAAGAGACTTAATCATAATTGTGCAGTCTGCTTTAACATGAAAGAGAATTTCGCTATTATTTTGTAATTAAGAAATGATCAATATCATGCCCTTGCACGAGAATAACGTGCAATACAAGCAACAATGTGTTGACCAGTTTTCCCCCGCACCAAATTGTTTTAAAACGTTTAAAATGAAAAGTGAAACAAACTGCTGTCCGAAAGTGGGTGCTAACCGAAATATATGGCATTCATGTTTCAAAAAGACAAAAAAAAATTGTAAATATTGGCTTGATCTAAAGTAGTTGCAGTGAGTTAAAGACATTTGTTATAATCGCTTAAAGTTCAAGGGAAACTTTTTTAAAAATCCAATGAAAAGACATTACAATAATGAAGTAAAAGCCCCAGTAATTTTTTAAACAAGAAATGTAACATAGCTATTGTTCAACGTCATTATACGATGAAAGATTTTTTTCAGCTGACTGACGTTTTCATTTTAGCTTGTGTCCAAAACGAATTTTTTTCTTAAGATGGAAGTTGATTTGGACAATTTGTCATATTTTCTCATGAAATACATTTGGTATTTATCAACGAGATCGTTGAAAAATTGACAAGGGTTGTAATTCCCGGAGAAAAAACTTAGCTCGGGGTCGCGCGTCAACTTTTTAATGTGTAAATAAACCCAGTAAAAGACACATTGCCGAATTAAATTCCCTAATGGCAAAATTTCATTTGTTAAGAGCAGAGGGAAATATCCCATTTGAGTTTAAATGAAATTGACAACACTACAGCTCGTAGAAATTCTCCAATTTAAGTGAAAATTGGAATTGATTTGCAATGCAATGTGGTACTATTTTTACGGCTTTAGCGGAAGTGGCGCACGAAAAAGAAAAATTGGTTGGAAGGAAATAAATTCATAACAGGCCTTCCTTTTAAATATAATATAATAACACTGCTTTTTGTTATGATTTAGTTTGAACACTCACATACATGTTAATGTAATCAATTATTTGAAAATACTCGTATGTGTGACAATAGATAGAAATAGATAATTTCAATAATACCTTTTTTTTCAAATTTTGTTTTCCCATCATTTTTTTCTTTTGTTTCATAATTGTCTACCTTTGATTTAGCACTTTTTTTTTAACTTTTATCCATTTTGTTTGTATTTTTAATGACTTTAAATTTAATGATAATAAAATGAATTTTATCATAATCATTGTAAATAAGCAATAAATATGCTTAAAATAATTTTAAAAATGATAAAAAATTACAGCTCTGTAAATTTGTTATAAAAACGACTACTGATAGGTTAGTTCAGGCAAATAAGTATAGAAAAGCTGGATATGAAAATAGATATAATTCATATTAAATAAAAAAATCATTGTGTATAAAAAATACTCAAAAAATCGGGATCTAAATAAGACTCCCTAACCGATTGACTTTACTTTAACAGTTTGAACAGTTTATTGAAAATGCTGGGCCTCTTAGAGGCATCAGTCACATATACAATAATATATACATATAATATGACATATCATAAAGAGATATCCACGAAATATACTGATGTACTACATGGCAAATATAAATCAAAAATGAAAGTGTTACATGGCATGGACAATTACTCATTTTCATGACTTTTGATTATTACGTGACACCTAATAACGATGAAATTGACGTGTAAGCAAAAAAAAAAATATATATATAGTAGAAAAAGCATACAGTATCAGAAAAATAAAACAGATGAAAGAATATAATTATAACAGAACAGCAACATTCATTAGCAAATTAACTGCATGAACATTATTAAAAGTACATGTTCGTGTCTGGAGTATGATGACTTGATGACGCTGTCGAGTACTTTTAAGTCGTAATAGATATTTAACATGAAAATGTTGAACTGGTTTACCGATGGACTTTATCTACATTCCATTATCTCTTTGGTATTTATAATAATGACGATAATAAGAATGATGATAATAATAATAATAGTAGTAATAATAGTAGTAGTAGTAGTAGTAGTAGTAGTAGTAGTAAAAATAATAATAATAATAATAATAATAAACATAATTATTATTATTATTATTATTATTATATTAATTAAAAAAATGATGATATTAAAAGTAATAATGATGATGATAATAATAAATAATAATAATAATAATAATGAATAGGATGATGATGATGATAATAATAATGGTGATGATGATAATATTAAAATAATAATCATAATAATAAAGATAATAATCAACAACATTCTCATTAACGATTTTGAATCTTCAACATTTTCTCTAAAATTTATATTAATTGTAAAAATCTTTATAAAATTGATAATTATGATAATTTTCATCATCATCAACAGTCATTATTACCAGCCGTTATCATCTGTCGTTATCTTCATCAGTCTTCATTATCACCGTCATCATTATCATCTCATTTTAGTTGCACATAATTGAGCCGTGTCATGACAAAACCAACATAATGGGTTTGCGACCAGCATGGATCCAGACCAGCCTGCGCATCCGCGCAGTCTGATCAGGATCCATGCTGTTCGCTATCAGTTTCTTTACTTGTTATAGGGTCTGAAAGCGAACAGCATGGATCCTGATCAGACTGCGCGGATGCGCAGGCTGGTCTGGATCCATGCTGGTCGCAAACGCACTTTGTTGATTTTGTCGTGACGCGGCTCATATACATGTATTATTCTTTAATTCATCCAAATTGTTTTCATTTTTAAATTTAGAATTTTGATAAAACAATATTCATGTTGATTTTTTTTTTCATGACAGTGATTGTAGAACAACTGGAGCGATTCACCGTACAATTACACAATGTCTGGGTCATGCGTGGAGGAACTGCCGTGTTCAAATGTGAGATTAACCCTCCATTCTGGAAAGACTATGTGAACATAACATCTTGGCAGAAAGGGACCGTGAAAATTACACCAGGTTTGTACCCAGACCACTTAACGCTTAGAGGGGGATGAACTTACTGTGGCACCAGTATAAAGCCAGGCTCTCCGTCTGTCTGTCTGTTCGTGCTGTCTTACCTTAATTTTGATGCTTGAATATAGAATCTTTTCGTGGCGGTATGGCCGAGTAGTTAACACGTTGGACTAGTAATCGCTATACGTGAAGGGTCAAACCTTGTCAGGGGCAACACATTCTGTATAAATCAAAATGGATAGGTCCAAGTTAAAAAAAGAACAAACATTGTGACAGTTAATATATTTCTATTCCGAATGACTTATACTGAACGTAGCAAAAATCGAATCAAAGATTTTCTGATAAATCGTAATTTTCTTTATTGCGAACTTAAAATTAGCATTTTATCATACAGAACAAAAGCTCCATAGTGTATGGAAAGTCCGTCAAATCAGATTATATGGATATACTTGTTTAGTTATAAAAGAAATAATTAAAAGTCGGACACATTTGCTTCTGTGTCACGGTTGTTTGGAAATACTGTACATTTGTATATCAGTTATGTGCATCTCTGTTAAAGTATATTAAAATACAACGCCGATAAATACGGCGCATTTCATGTCATATCACGTGCTAGTCAAGTAATGTTAAAAGAGATATATGAATAGTCCTTGATTTGATATTCATTATTTTTATTATTTATCATTTAATCGTGAAATCGTATTAGAGAATCATGCTTTTATGTTATATAGTATAGCTCGGCATTGTGGTATAGCATTCGGATATTATTAAAGAGCCTTTTCATGCGCACTTTATTGTGAAGAACTGGCGGAATTAGGATAATTATTAATGATTACAGTGCTAATTGCCCCGGGGGAAATCATTAAACTACCAGGTTATTGATCATGTGATCTTGTCATTCGGAATGCTTCGGGAATTCTAGAAATGAACAAAAAAAAAAAGAAAAATAATAAAAGCCAAACATATATTTATTTAACATACAATGGACTGTAGTTTTAACTGCCAGTAGCATAGATAAGAACAAAGGGGTAACTAGAAATCTATGGTACATACAATGAAAGTAATTTTGTAGTTTTTAGTCGCCATTATATATATAAAAAATCAATTAGGGGTCATTTTCATAGTATGATAAAAATCGACTATTAAAAAGTATGGAAGACAAGTTACGGCTTGATTTCGAAATTAAGGACAGAAGCATCTTGAATCGCTCGTGACACCACAATTGATGTTTTGATTGCATTCAAGCGTCAATATTTGATTTTTTAAGTGCCTGTCATATACTTTTGAACAGTGATATTGTAATTTTTTTTATTCTCCAACAAAATATTTAAAGACATATTATTTTTTCCAGAAATCTATATCTGGTTAATGTGCAGAAATGTGTCGTACATGTAGCACAATGTAAACCAATGTGTATTTAGACTTTCATACAAAATACTAATTCACAATTGTCAACAAGTCAAAAGAAGCAGAGATAGTTCATGTATGTGGTAAATGAGTATTTTTTGGAAACAAGATAAACAAATTTAAGTATTTATGAAATAAAAATGATAGCATGTTTGAGGCATAATGGGCCTTTAAAACATTAGCGTGCACCATAAAATGACGTTTACCCTCAACGTGCTGGAATCTTAAGTGATTTGCCTAGGCAAACCTAGGCCTGCCTGCTCATCTGTTAAGCCTGATAAGGCTCTATACTGTTGGAAGTTCAGTTTTGCATATTGATATGAAAATCCCCTTCAGTAATTCACAAACTGTTACAAAAATTCAAAGCTGGTTAAAAGTCTAAATATTTAGCTTAGTTCGGATCTTAGTTATTCAGAATTTCTTTTTTAATCTCTTTCAGGTGATCGGATTAGTATTACGTCAAATGGAGAGCTTCATCTGCGTGACGTCAGAGATACAGACGGGTATAACGACTTCCGGTGCACGGGGATCAGTTTTGTAACAAATATTGAAAAGTCAAGTCCAACAGCAAAGCTATTAATTCATGGTAAATATAAACGCCCGTAAACAATGTAATTATCAATAAATTTGGTTGGATATCTATATAACGAATGTTTGAGATAATTTCGATACCTTTTTGAAATTTTTTTGGTTCAGGGTCACACCGTTTTCGTTTTATGTCTATTTATGATTAAGTATTTTTATTTCATACATTTTCCTGTTAATTAACTATAGATATGTGTGCTTAAAACAACAAAATGGTGACTTTGCACAAACTAAAAGACAAAGAAAAATGAAAATTACATGCGTTTTTTAGCGTTCACTTTATATTATTTGTTATAAAATATTTTTGATAGCTGTTATATGGCCTTTTATATATAATCGGTTGTTTGGAAATATAACCCGATTCGATAAGCGAGGGTTATTTTGCAAACGACAGTCTATATACGGTCATATAATATGTCAGAAGTATTTATAACGATTGTATACTACAGCAATCTTCCTTTTTAGAGAAAAAAGTGAGATTTCTTAATATTTAATTAATAGCAGTCATGTATATAAAACTATATAAAGGTCACGATTATCCAATGAAAAGTGACGTTACAAACGTTTAGTAATTTAATACTGAATGTATATACGTTTGTTAATAGTAAGAATGATAACGAAACATTTTATTTGATTAGATCCACCTGCGGGCGGGAGAAGTCCTTCTATTGACGGCTATCCTATACAAGACACCGTCGTCGGCGTCGGGAAGAGTGTACAACTGCCATGCGTTGCCGACGGCTGGCCGTTACCAATGTATCGGTGGTATAAGAATGGCGAAACCTTAGATTTAGGGGACGAACGTTTCCGACAGTTTGGAGGACATCTTGTGATATCGCCGACGAAGCTGTCGGATGGCGGGGAATATAGATGTAATGCGAGTAACTCCAGGGGATCTGCGGCGGCAATTAGAAAGCTTATTGTCAAAGGTATGAAATTGTGACATCGTAGATAAGAAATATGTATTGTACTAGAAACAGATTTTTTGCCAAAAATGTAAATTTGCATATGATTTATCAAAAAAAAGTCAAATTGTCGCTTTTGTTAAGATTTATGACATCAAATCGAATAAGAAAGAAATGTACGGACATCTCAGGGCCTGATATAGATACTTAAATTGTTCTATGAAAAGATATAAATAAAATAAGAAAGAAAACAACTTTTAGGTTTAGTTTTTACAGAAAATTTATTTAAGTTCGGTTATGTAAGCTTTCAGACACACTCTCTAACCCATACCTAGAACTAACCAGTACTAATTAACGAAGACAAGAAAATAATGGCTTCCACCACACAGAGTTTGAACCTACGTGACTAACAATCCTAAGATTCCTAGTCTGACATATTATCCAAGCGGCCACAACACCACAAAGTAGGCCCTCAGGTTTGAATAAAACGTCAATTTTTCGGAACATGTAGGTTTTTATCATTGATGACACATCAACCTTTCCATTTTTTTCTATTTTATAGATAACATATGTCAGTTGACAATTAAACAACAACATATGTTTTTCATTTTATTTCAGTACCTTTAACGGTTGCAGTATCCCCTGGTAAACAGGTCGTCGATTCTGGAAAACCAGCCACCCTGAATTGTTCGATCCTTGGCTTCCCCATCACACGATTGGACTGGTATAAAGATGGTCATCCTTTAGTTAGGGATAATTTTCATGTGTTTAAGTCTGATGATACCCTATTAGAGATAACGTCTGTAAGACGTCAGGACCAGGGCATGTATCAATGCTTCGCCTTAGACGGTGACGTCGAGACTCAAGCTACCGCCCAACTGTTGCTAGGAGGTACCCTGATTTACGCTGATTTATTTTAGATGTATTTATTTAAGGATTTAATTCAAGTTCACTACAGTGTTGGAGTGATAACTCTAGACGCTTGCAGAAATCATGATATCATAAAGTTAAAAAATATTGCTTTTTTCGCCGATTCATACATTTTTTAATTCATTATTGTATTGGTATGAACAGTTGAATGTGACAGTTAAAGTGCATTTCGGAGGGTGAAAAGGCGATATTTATGCGTTTAATCATTCAAGCGTCCTGACCGGTATATACCGGAATATGGTATTTAGTGTGGTGCTCCAACACTCGTTAGTCTCATTCTTTATCTAATTGCAAACATCTAGAAACTATAGGATAAACGTGTTACGAGTTATTTTAAAATAATTTAAGCTTTTTTGTAACTGTTCGCAATTGTAATTTTATATCCATTTTTGTAATATGTTAAAAGTCTTGGTCACAAGTCAGTTAAGCCATGGCAATTTATTTTGATAAATAATTTAATCAATTCGCCATGCACCTTGTATTTGTATAAAATAATTCACGATGTTAAAATTATCATTTGTCTTGATTAAAATTGGTTTGTGTAAAACATCAAGTCCTCCTTATAATGATACCGTGTGATTAATAAATATAATTTTAGCTGCAACTCCAACCATTTTGAATGGATATTCAAGCCAATATGTGCAGAAAGGTCAAAGATCAAGTGTGCGTTGTGTGGCGTCCGGCAATCCTACACCTACAATCAAATGGTACCTCGATGATGAGCCCCTCACGGAACGTAGCCATCTTAGATTAGGAAGTTTTGTGACGGCTGCTAGTGACGTAGTGAGTTACGTCAACATAAGCAGCGTGACGCGATTGGAAGGCGGAGATTATCGATGTGTTGCAACAAATATAGTCGGGGAGGCGGAGCATATTTCTCGAATGAATGTTTATGGTTAGTGCTTCTTGTCATATAATTATATCAATTACTTTTAATACAAAGCAAATAATAAACAATTTTTCGTGACAAGAATGCAAGTTTAACTAAAATCTTTCAAAGTGTTTGTCTAGATAATTGATAAACAAAGCAAAACATAGTGCCAATAACAATGAAATGAAAATACTGATACTGTTCTGTACAACTTCAGCTGCGTACAACCTTTAAAATTGTGTTCACACGAACCGTGTAACGGCTTAAATATTTATATACTAGTACTATTTAATGCACTTTAACCTGCAAAATTTTACCAATTGAAAGAAAAAACAACAAAAAAAACAGTTATTAACTTCTTCTATATTTCTATGTTAGACTATGCTTTTTTGCCCTACGCAGATCGCGCTTGTGCGGGGAAATACTAATTCCGGTTGATTTTTCATAGCAACGGACCGCGTCGTAAAAAGGTCTATAGTACTAATGAGCTAAGCATGTAAGCATGTACTTTAAAAGTATAAATGTTCTTTTGACACTTTATCTAAATCGATATCAAAATATACCATGACGTCATCATAATATCAAGTTCCATGATTTGTCGATTCTAGTCTACTTAATATCTTAAAACAATCTGTTCTTTTGTTTATTGAAACTAAATGCTTCAAACTCAGGAAATTATAACGTTTACATACAGTAATTTACAGCTTTTCACTTGAAACGTTCGATATTTTAGTTGAAGTTTTAAAATTTGATCAGATGTATTCAGGGTATTGTAATGTTTATAGCGATTTAGAACTTTTTTTCTTTACTGAAAAACGCTCGATATTTTAGTTCATGTTTTGAAATTTTAACAGACGTGTTTCAGGAAGCGATCTCGCGGAAGCATTTTAAGTTTCCAGAGGCACTAGATACACATAAACGACTCGATTTTCTCACAACTCGAGTATTGTTCGCGTGCAATTATTTCGTCCTACGACGAGAAAGCAATCAAGTAATATGCCACTATCGCGTTACATTATATTACTTGCATCAGAAACCTGCATGCAAAGAGGACCTTAATTGACACGCAAAAAACAGATATATTTCCGGCGATTTTGTCATGTAGTTCTAATTACAAAACAGAATTAAACACTCAAATTTCAACGTTAGCAGACGATACGATAATTGTGGCGATAATGGTCTGCTATTGACCAAACGACAAAATGACAAATAACGCAGCGTTTTTTTTTTTAAACCACGTGATGCAGTTAAGAAATCTTGAATGCGTTACTTTATCAGCAATTAGTCAAACTGCCTCACAATTAATACTTGCTTCTTTTTCTCTCTGAGATATGGGTTCGTGTCAATTAGTCCATTATGTTATCTTTGAAACATTTTACATTAAAACATTGCCATATCTGTCTCACTTTGTTTTGACATCATGCAAAAGCAACACGCTTACAGATTAGCTGCCAAAGTGTAACAAAAAAACAAGAAAGGTTTCGAAAATGTATAAAGAATTTAATATATGTATTATAAAAACATGTATTTGCAATTCATGCAGTACTTAACAGTGTATAGCCTAGATCCTATGCCCTTTGGTAGATAAAGAATTTATTTGAAGCCGCGAGGTGTTGCTTTGGAGAGGGAAGTCGTACTTTAGGAAGAATTGTAGAGAGGTTATTGACCACTCTACAGAGATTGCACTGTATACATGTACCTAAATATACTCTAGTTTGTTTTTTTGTTTGTTTGTTTTTTGCTTTGTTTTGTTTATTTGTATCTCTGTACAGTTTTTTACTTACAGATTAAAGCGACATTTTTTTCACATATTTTGTCACATTTTATATGATGTATGTGGGAAAATGAATTGTGCTGTAAATTACAGTAAACAGGAAATGACAATGTCTTTTCTTTCTTTAATAAATGGAACGGATTTTTTCATGCTATGTCTATATACGGTGCGTATTGTAAACAACAAAACAGCAGCAGCAACAACAACAACAACACAACAACAATGTTCACCAGCAACATCTTTTTTTATTTCAGGTGAACCCTATATTCGTAAGATGCGAAATGTGACTGCGACAGCCAATGAAAAACTTTTCATCAAATGTCACGTGACCGGATATCCAATCAAATCCATATCTTGGTACCAAGGTACTTACACTTTTTTTAAACTAAATAACATTATCGAATAGCCAGCATTTTTTTTTAAATATGTTCTATAGAGTTATTTAATGTTTTGTATTATATTTCATTAAAAAGACAGGTTATTTTCTCTTTGACTTCCGGTAAATTTAAGGACTATTCGCAATCCTTTTCCCGGTATTTACCGGACAGGTAATCCGTGTGCTATTATTAGCATTGGCAATATATCTGCAAGAAGGAGAACTCAAACTTTTCGGTTAAACCAGGGTTTTTCACGACCGAGTATCTTTTTTGTTTAGAAAATTCTCCGTGTTGCTATTCATAACCATGACAAAACATCTAATTTCAACAAATACGTCAAATATATAATATATAAATCATTGACCGCCTGGACTAAACGGGGTTATTTTTTATCGGAAATGTTAATGTTTGTTTGATTTTTTTTGCGTCGGCCACTCATGCTTTTTTGTGTATTGGAATTCAAAATAAAAACACATCAAAGTCATTTTGTCTTTCATCTATTGTCATGCATATAAGAGTATAACATTCATGTTTTTAAGAGTATAACATTCATGTTTTATGATGTAATTGGTATATTTATTGTCTGCTTCATTGTATATCCAACACTTAATATGCGTATATCGGATTGATTTACATGACCTTTTAGACAACAGCTGTTGCACGTGGTAACCTTTTCTCATTATTGTACGGAAACATAGAGGGAACATCCGATATTTTTTTTTATCTAAGTTAACTATCTTCCTGTCTGTTATCTCGTGGCATTTAGGTACTATTTTTTCCCTTTTATAACTATATCGATGGGTACATTTTCGATATTAGTGATTTTTTTCTCGTGGGTAAAGTAAATAAACCAAAAAAAAACAACAAAAAACATATCTTCGTATATGGATGAGTATATTTTTGATATTAGTTACATTTTTTTCTCGTGATCAAGAGATATTAAAGAAAGGTTTCAATGTCCCCTGTATGCTTCCGTAGATGTCATATTCACATGTCAATATATATTTGTTTTTTTTTCTATAAATTTGATACGAATGCTGATTTTTCAATTTTAGACAGTCGCAAACTTCCACTCAATCATCTGCAGCAGGTTTTGAATGGTACACTTACTATCTTAAAAGTACAGAGTAATGATGCAGGAAAGTACACGTGTGCGTCGCTGTAAATAACGCGGGAAAAGGCACGCAGGAGAGTGTATTTGTTACAGTAGTCGGTAAGTATTCCGTATTTCCTCATCTAAAGGCATTGATTATTACTCATACTTCTTACTTTTCAGAAATGTACATGTATTAATTTTTTTTGTATAATCTTATTCTTTTATTAGAACAAATATTATAAATATTTTATATACATAAGTTACCGTCCTTCAACCGCTAGCAAAAAGTAAAATAATAAATACAACTTAAATAAATAAATAAATAAATAAATAAATAAATGAATAATAAATAAATAAATAAATAGATAAATTAATAAATAAATAAATAAATAAATAAATAAATAAATAAATAAATAAATAAATAAATAAATAAATAAATTACATGATTAACTTCTTTTAGAGCCACCTGTTATCGATCCGTTCCGGATTCCGCCACGTAAACAAGGGGACAGGGTAACGTTGTCGTGTGCCGTCAGTAGTGGGGACTTGCCTATCTATATAAACTGGACCAAAGACGGCCTTCCAATACCACCAGATATAGGTGTTCTTGTCGAGGTAAGTCTGGTATTTGACCCATCTTCCTTCCCTTGGAGCAATTCCCTCCCCATAGGATATCCCATTAAAACAAGACATTTTAAGAATACAATTACACGTAGGTTCTTCAGGAAATAAACGATATTCGTGGCAAAGAATCGAACCGGGAACCTCTCGATCGTCCTATTACTGTATAAATGTACTGATCCCTGCGTTCTCATTTATAAGCGTTTCCTATGCTCTGGTGAAAACTTGATTCGAAATGTATAATAAAACACTAATTGATATATATTCTTCGTTATTGTGTGATAAATGAAAACATCAGTCAAATAATTGATTATCAACAATAACAACAGCAGCAGCAGCAACAACAACAACAACAACAATAATAACATCAGCAACATCAACAATAGCAGCAGCAACAACAACAATAATGAAATACCACCACCTTCATTTACATCACTGTCAACACTATGTATATGTTAGTGTTCATCCGTGCTGTTCTACAGAAATAAGAAACTTCGACGGGAGCGATAGCGACAGAAGAATGTTTCTAATTTCTGTAGAACAGCTACGGATGAATACTAACATATTTAGTGTCAAGCTTTATTTGGCCTCACTATTATTCACTTTATTACGTCACTATGTGGTTCTATGAAGTACTATGAAAAATAGAAGTCGACTATGAACGGAATTCGATATAGTATCGACTTTTTTTCTTCTATGAAAATTAACGCACATATTTTTTAAGAAATACAGCAATTTCATTGGATGACAAATAAAGTTGGACACTAAGACTTTTAAATTAATTATTTCTTATTTCATGTTTGATTTCAGACTTCAGGTCCGTATAGCAGCTTGCTAAAGATTGGTGACGTCAGTCCGGTACATGACGGAAATTATACATGCCATGCTCACAATGCTGCTGCCAGTACAAATTTTACGGCGTTCCTGCACGTTGACGGTAATTTATATTTTATTATGATATTAAAAAAATAAACACTTATGAAATTAATAAAGAAAAGGTTCTAATATTACAAAGCTAAAATTTAAGTAGCCATATAATTTCGAACGCTGTGACACATATTTTTGACTTTCAAACACTTAACACATCAATAGTGTTTTAAACGTCATGGCCAAATCTCCGCTTTGACTTGAAAATGTACTGAAGATCTTAAATATTGATATGTTTTTCTTTCACTAAGATGTAAATCTTTAAAAATCTATTTCCTTCTTTCTAGGAAATAACCAAACGTCACGCAATATCGTGACAAATGTTTTATTGTCAACAGAAAATGTGACATGTTAGTTACTGTATTGTTTTTGTGTTAAGGAATGACGTCATCGTGACGAGAAGTAAAAGTGTTCATCAAAACGTTGATCAAACTTGTACACAACTATTTCATTATACCTTCAAGTTATAGGAAACATTTATCGTTTACAAATATCTAATACATTATGATGATAACAATTAATATTGTATGATAAAGAGCTCAAAGACACGATTCTCGACATAGTAAAGGACAATATCCCCATTCATTCAAAACAATACAAACGTTATTTTATTCGGATAATATAGGAAAACGTACAAATTGAGAATTTCACATTCGGCTGCCGTATTTTACATCAAAACTGTTTATTATAACAAAAACAACAAAAACAACAACAACAAACAACAACAACAATAACAAAAATACAGCTACCAATAGCAACAACAACAGCAATAATAACAACAACAACAAGTAGAGATTTTGATGCTAAAGCATCAAGTCGCCGGATAGAAATATGATTGTATTATCATAAATAAAAGAAAATATCAGTTTAATGGTTCGAGTATAAAGAAAAGAGGAACAATAAGTTGAGTAATGTTTATTCATAAACACGTTTTCATGTACTTGCCACAATTATATCTTTCTTGCTATAAACTTTGTAAAAGAGTTTTATGCAATAAATTTATGTTATGTTATAATAAAACATCATATTTGAAGCAAACTTGCTTAGCAATTTTGTCAAGAAACTGTTATCATTATTAAATAAGCAAGTATTGTTTGGCAATATTTACCCGAGACTCAATAATTTTCGGGAGCTGTTTCGTTAGCTTACATAACTTATTATGATTAATGTTAACGATTTTATTGTAAGTATAATTACATGTATAATTATATCAATTAATACTGCTCGATGGCCTAGTGGTAAGTATGACGAAGTTGTAACCTACATGTAGTAGGCGCAAGTTCGAATCTTGGACAAATCCTGTGTGTAGTTTTCATAAATTGATTTTTATTATATCTTTTAACGTTGATAAATCGTGTGTATCATTTCTGGCACTCTTTTTATTTCATAATTTTGATAAAAGGTCAAGTTTTGCGATATACAAAAGTATTATAAAAGAAAACATAAAAAATCACTTTATCGAACCTACAGTCTTCAATTAGAAACTAACTTAAAATCTAACACCTTGTCATCGAGGCTTGTAAAGCAAGTGATATGATTATAATTCTACTTGTAAATATACCGTTGTACCATACATTTGAACTCCGTATGGTTTACTGGTTTACTTCAGAATCCAATAATTACCGACAAATTATTACCGATCCTCGAATATTTGCAAAGTGACTATGAAAATATATATGCTTAATTATTGCATAAAACAATGCAATTCTGCTGTAAAAGTGGTGTCTGCATAAAAAAATTATTCTTATGCACTATCGAAAAAATATATTATTTAGCTGAATTCAATATTCCTGTCGTTACATACGATATAGTTTAACGTTTTTTTGCCTTTCAGTGCGATAAACTATCAACACAAAGTTAATTTATTAGTTTTCTCTGTGTATCCAATACGATTCCGGCCCTTACTGTTTCATACAAAATTACGTTGATTTGCACTTTAACCAGCTGCCAACCATTCACGAGTTACCTGTAATTCTGTCTTATAAGCCATTTGTTACTATTAATAGATTTTATAACTGTAACATATAACGTGTTGTCACGTGATTCTGGGAGAAGCTTTTATGATAAATAAGATAAAAAAATAGAATAAGTCTCATAACATACAAACAACCAGATAATTTAAAAGTGTCATTTCAAATATCATGCATGTCTTATTTATCATAAAATAGCAACGCTTGACACTTTGAAAAAAGGGAAAACATCCCTAAATTCAATGACTGATCCATAGGGATACGTCATTAATTCATTTTATAAAAATTGTAATGTTGCTTTTTACGATGTCAATATATGAATATTTCATTTCATTGAGCAACATTATTGTATGTTTGAATTTTTGAGATTACTGAAAACAATTGCAGTCTTTAATTGTTCAGTAATTGTTATGCTTTTATTTACAGAAATTAATGCCTTCTCCTACCATAGGTATAATATTAAACTGTAACAAATATAGTCGCCGGTTTCTACCGGCGACTAATAACAGCAGCAGCAACAACAACAGCATAAGTAACAACAATACAGCCACCACTAACAACAACAACAACAACAACAACAAACAGCAACAACCGGAGCAGTGTCTGTTGAGTAACTGACAATAATCTATTTAAAATCAATTTAGCTATTGACGATGCATTAAACGGTACAATGTACATGTGAAGCTGATATATCCAACTGTTTGGGCTCTTAACATAACCTACCAAAATATCTTCATTCACTTACTAACAAGTTACCTTTTTTTCTTCTTACGCCTTAATACTTTAAAAAATATAACTGTTTTTTATCAAGAAAAAAACCCACAAAAAAAACAACAACACAAAAACAACAACACAAAAACAACAACATTGGACTCATATCACGCGATCATTGTTTTATCTCAATATCATGTGCAAACATTTAATTTGCATTACAGTGTTTACGAGACCCTGTCCACGTGTACTTCAATAAACACAATTTACTGACTATAATGAGGGCACGTGTTTTTCAAGTTTCATGCTTTCATCAACGCTGCACGAGATTTAAACATATAAAGTAATTAAAGATAGTAAAAAAATTTCTCCTTTAATTAAACGCAATAATATTGATACAGCCGAAAGTGCACTGTGAATAATCGAGTCATTTTTCTATTTTCGCAAGAAAAGTACGAGGTAAAAATATGCAAGTTTCCGAGAAAGATACAGTGACCGGAAGTAGCAGGTGCTTGTCAATGCAGGATACGGCAAAGTCTGTGAAAAGATGGTTTGTGTAGAACATGTGCCAAAAGGACCGCACACGCCGCCATACTTAACAAAATCGTGTTATCAAATGCCACTTGATAATAGTTAACACAATAATTCAGACCACTAGATAAAGTTCCATTATCACGGAAGGTCAATAGATAAATTTACATTATCACGAACAGACACTAGATAAGTTTACATTTTAGCGAAAGGGCACTTTATAAGTTTATATTATAACGTAATTACACTCAGTCTAGATAAGTTTACATTTTCACGACAGGACACTAGGTAAGTTTACATTATGACGAAAGGCCACTAGATAAGTTAACATTATCACGAAAGGACATTAGATATGTTAAGGACACAAGATAAATTTACATTATCACGAAAGGGCACTAGATAAGTCTACATTATAATGAAAGGACACTAGATAAAGTTCACATCTTCACGAAAGGACACTATATATGTTTACATTATAACAAAATAATGCTAGATATGTTAACATTATCACGAAATGACACCAGGTAAGTTATTATTATCACGAAATGACACTAGATAAGTTTACCTTATCACGAAATGACACTAGATAAGTTTACATTATCACGAAATGACACTAGATAAGTTTACATTATCACGAAATGACACTAGATATGTTTACATTATCACGAAATGACACTAGATAAGTTTACATTATAATGAAAGGACACTAGATAAAGTTCACATCTTCACGAAAGGACACTATATATGTTTACATTATAACAAAATAATGCTAGATATGTTTACATTATCACGAAATGACACCAGATAAGTTATTATTATCACGAAATGACACTAGATAAGTTTACCGTATCACGAAATGACACTAGATAAGTTTACATTATCACGAAATGACACTAGATAAGTTTACATTATCACGAAATGACACCAGAGTATGAGATAAGTTATTATTATCACGAAATGACACTAGATAAGTTTACCTTATCACGAAATGACACTAGATAAGTTTACATTATCACGAAATGACACCAGATAAGTTATCATTATCACGAAATGACACTAGATAAGTTATCATTATCACGAAATGACACTAGATAAGTTTGTAAACATTATCACTAAAGGACACTAGATAAGTTTGTAAACATTATCACGAAAGGATACTAAATTAGTTAGTTAGACACTAATTAAATGTGTATTTCAGTTTCGATACAATTATTGACTAAAGAAATAATGATTGCCAACCAATATGCTTCAACATAACTTTATTGTTGATTGGCTTGACAATTTTAAAACAGGTATGCATATTTTTCATCTGCTCCCGTAAGGTGATTTGCAGTTTACCATAAATTCTTTTTAATTAAGGATAACAGCGATTTCATGCATTCATGCTTCAAAGTCATTTATAATTATATTTTTCATTAATCATTGTGACTGTAAATACGTGAAGTATATTGTTTCGGCTTATTTGAAGAACATTGTTCTTAGTTAATTAATTGATTAATTAATTGATTAATTAATTGATTAATTAATTGATTTCAAACACTGACTGTAATATCATACACATGCAAATACAATATCATTGTGTAATAATGTGTATTTTCAGTTCCACAAATAAATTTTATGTTGTTGAGCCGCTCACGATTTTAATATGACGTGAAATAAGTACATGGTACAAACTCAGTCCGTGTACTGTACCTACTAGCAAAGGACACTAAAAATAAAGAACATGCGTTATTTAAATTGTACAATATACATGCATAGCTTAATTCAGACAACCCCTAAAGTAAAGTATTGCAAAGATGAAAACTGATATCTAGAGATATTATACTATCTTCGGACGTATCCAAAACTTATTTATTAAACCTAAACATAATCAGCAACAACAACAACAAAAGCAACGACCACGTCGACAACAACAATAACTACAACAACAGCAACAACAACATCCATCACCACTACAACAAACATCACCACCAACAGCAATAACAAAAACAAAATGTTCTCTTAGCTTGATTATTATCAATTCCATAAATCATGCCTTATTTTGCATACTTTTGTCTTTATTCCCATAGTTCCTCCAAGATGGGTTGTAGAACCGGAAGATACGTACGTTATCCGACAACGTTCAATACTGTTAGACTGTCACGCTACCGGCATACCAGAGCCAAAGATTACATGGAGCGAAAACAAAGGTAATTAATGCCCTTAAACTACGCTAAATATCTAAAATAGACTCGTCCATCTTACATTTTTCGAACTGTCCATTATCAATTTTGGGGATATATTAGGATGAGAAAAGTGTACTGGTGCCCGGCTCTGTACTGATGCCAAAGTATATTGACTTTTGGTTCCAGTTAGTTAAGGTTTCAATTGCGGATAATTCGATGAATGATTGAATAGTATATGTAAAGTTACTCTTTTATGATTTTTGTATCATAGTTTGGAGACCTTTCTACTGAAAATAATTATGCCAGCCCATACATGCAATTTTGCTAACTGGACTGCATGTATTCCACTGTCTGCAGGGAGTAAAAATAGAGCATGCTCGTTGACTGGCTCATGTTTTATGGTGTTTATTACTTATTGTGACAAAGTCATATTTAGATGCTCTTACATTGGTTATTTGTTTAAAGGTTTCATATTGTGACGACAGGGAACATGTTATTATTTATGCCTACGATACAAAGTAGAAAGAACATCAAAACACTCGGGTTCGCTCTCTCGTACAAATCAGATAACCTAGTGTTTCAATGCTCTTCCTATTACTTATACCAGGTCCAGTTTAGTACATCATTTACCCTCGCAACCATGGAAATAAAAAGTATGTAACACTTCTTAAAGGCACATAATGAATCAGAAAATAAATAAATTTTAAAAGAAAGGGGAAACACGAGGTTTATGACATAAAATAATTGTTTTAGAGCATGTTAGATGCTTGTTTCCTGAAACAGCACTATATGTGAAATCTTTTGCCACGAAAGTAGCAAAAATGTTAACAAATTAGTATTTTGACTTCCATACAAAATAATTTATGACTATAGTTGTACTAATTGCCAAAACGCAACACGAGAAAATGATGGTTCGGGTAATTGATCAATGTGTAACTGTTTGGAAACTATAAAAGTAAACCGAAAATAAAAAAAAAGCTTTTGAGAGATAAAATATATGGGTCTTTAAGATTTAAAATCAGTGACAAATATTACATTGTAATTAACAGATTCTAATTTACTTAATTGCAGGTGGATTTCCGATCCAGTACGAACCCCTAGACCTTAGTAAGACCGATCATTACCGGATGTATGAGAACGGCACGTTACAGATTATATCCGCGCTGGAAGCGGATGACGGCAAATATCTCTGTACCGCTGATAACCGGATCGGGCATGGAATCAGCAAGATTATTTACCTAACTGTTCATGGTATGCAACTTTTGATGTTAGTCAAACTGTTCATGATATAACCGTAAAAATTGCATTGTACAATCACGTTATATCAGTGATAATTATGTTCATTATGTTGATAAAACATAATGTGTATGATGATTAAGTAAACCAGTGAACATTTACTTAAATGTTCATGTTTGAAAATCATAATGGTATATAGATGTGTAATAATTTAATAAACCAGTGAATATTTACCGAAATGTTCATGTAATGATTTATACATGTTATAGTGTCGTTAATCAGTGATTTTATACCTAAATGATAATGGTATGATCTTTAATTGAACATATATTTGATAATGTAGTAAATCAGTGAACATTTACCTAAATGTTCATGGTAAAATCTTTACCGGAACAAATATATAATAACGTAGTAAATCAGTGAACATTTACCTAAATAAACATGGTATGATTTTTAGTGAAACATGTATGTTTAGTAAATCAGTGAACAATTTACTTAAATGTTCACAAAATTACCACTATGTTGATAAAAGATAATGCATATTATAATAAAGTAAACATGCGAAGATGTTTTCTAAAAAATCTTAATTGTATGATTATGCTCGAAATTTTCAAAACTGTTTACCTAACTGGATCTATATGGTCATGGACTGACCATTGTGTCATGTTCGACACAAACAATGCAATATATTCCAGTGTTTCAGTGGTCTTATCGTTGTTTTTTTTCCCTCGTTTCTACGGTTGTAACAACAAAAATCAACACACATATTCTATTAAGCAACTGGAATGAAAATAGCAAATATAAAACACAAAAAAAACAACTAAACCATCAAATTTGCCCCTTACGTTCATGCCATGAACATAATTGATATGAAAAAAATATGGACAAGTAGCTATGACATATGCCGCAGGGACCATACAACTTCTGCAATACCCGATGTTAATCAAAATGAAATTTTGTAATATTATTTATTCAAAGGTCCCTTGTACTAATTAATTACGTTGCGTGGCCTTTTTCCGTTCAATGCACGTTCCTTCATCAATTATTGAAACACGAAAACAAACAGCTTTTATCATGTTCGCTATTCTTTCAGCACGTGCAAATGTTTTCAAATGATAATGTTACATTTCCGAAATGTTAAATCGTTAATGACATTCTCACGAGTCCCGCAGCTTTGGACAGAAATTTTTTTCTCCTTCCCATGAATTGTGGGAGATCGAAATCTGACCCATTTTGCTTAAATGCATTTACGTCATGGCGAAAAATGAATTAAAAAAAATAAAATTTATATCTGGTCAGGTTAGTACGAAATTTTGATACGTGTACCTATCGAACTCTGAATAAAAAGTAAATACAGTGCGACCTCTTCTAAACGGCCGTCTATAGAACAATATCCTGTCGACAACAGTACCGGAGTAACAATCAAAATAAATTTTACCCTCTCTAGGAAAACATGTGTAAGAAACGACCAAATGAACCTCGTCATGACAAAACCAACATAATGGGTTTGCGACCAGCAGGGATCCAGACCAGCCTGCGCATCCGCGCAGTCTGATCAGAATCCATGCTGTCCGCTTACCAAGTCTATTACAAGTAGAGAAACTGATAACGAACAGCATGGATCCTGATCAGACTGCGCGGATGCACAGGCTGGTCTGGATCCATGCTGGTCGCAAACCCATTATGTTGGTTTTGTCATGACGCGGCTCAAATCTTGTTCTTCCAAACAGTGTTGCTCTGCAGAGGTGATTCTTACGTAAAGACATGATTTACTCGTGTGTTTAGACCATTCATTGACAATATCATTTTCACGTGCGCATGAACATCGCTGATTTCGCTAGACATCAGAAATTGTTTGACGGAAAATGCCGAAATGTTGCGATTTGGGATATACATGTACTTTGCCTATGTAGATCTGCTTGCGTTTCCATTGTGATTTTTTTTGGTATTTGTCATATTGAAATCCCTTAATCTTTGAATGGAAGGTTCCAAACACAAAACAGGACATATCCATTACACAAATCCAGTGGGTATAGGCTTTAAATTTTATAATAGAAAAGTTAAGGTGACAGTCACACAGTTTCATGCGTTATCATTCATTCATTCTGACAGAAATTTCAATTAGAGACACAAAAGATTGCTTTTGCTTTATCTGTGTGATCGTAGTTAATGAAAATATAATAATTTCTCGAGAAAATGGTTATTAAACCTCTTTCAATAGACAATCGGAAACAAGCAATGCGAAACAAAACATTTTAGCGGGAGATACTTCTGCAATCATTGTTTTTCGTGCAATGCTTTTATGATTTAAAGATAAGCGATCCGAGTGTCGCACTTTCTGATTGCTACCGTTTTTTGCCGTTTTCTCCGCGTTACTAGTTTCACATTGCCATTACGCGATATGAAAATTGACAAAAAACACTTCATGTTATAGCTCATTAAGCGGAACCTTTGAGTTGCCATTTTAGTTGTGAATCATACACGCTATCGCATTGGTGATATGCGAAATATTGTTGTGTCTAGCTCATTAATGGGATCGTGTTTTGTTCTAAGAGCCAAAAAACAACAACGAATTAGCTCTATATTACGTAAAAATAAATGTTGGTTTCTAGGTGCATTGTACATTTGTAAACGAAATACTCCCTAGAGGTATCTTTTAACATGGCGTTTGTGTTATACGAATGTTATTTTTTACTAGCATTTCTGTTTTCATGATACCAATACATTCAACAAATGATGCTATTAATCTAATTTCTACGTGTTGATTATATGTTTGTTTGTTTGTTATTGTTGGAGACATATGTTGTTATAATAGATTTAGAACACAAAAAAAAAACAACAAAAAAAACAAAAAACAAAAAAAAAAACAAATAAACGAAAAATAGATTTAATATACACAACTTTTTATCAAGTTTAACATATTTTCCCGCTTTTTGTGTTCTTCGGAATCGATCATTAAATATCGGGAATTTCCGCATATGTCAGTCTCATGTGATTTTTTTTTTGCAGTACCTGCTCGATTTGATACTTCACGGAAGAACATAAGCGTTTCAAGGGGTCAAAATATCACGCTCAGTTGTCAGGCCATAGGTGATAAACCAATATCAGTGTCGTGGAACTTTCATAACCAGACAATTGCAAGTGGAAACATTGGAAGGTGACGTAACATGACGTTATTATTACTATTTTGGGTTCAATGTTGTTCCTTTTAAATGAACTTACACAATCATGTCTTCTTTTTTAATAATAATAATGATGATGATGATGATGATGATGATGATGATGATGATGATGATGATGATGATGATGATGATGATGATGATAATAGTAATAATAATAATAATAATAATAATAATAATTAAAATAATAATAATAATAATAATGATAATTGTAATTATAATAATAATAAACCAATATTTTATTATTAAGTGATTTTGTGCAAAAAGTGTTCTACAATAAGACCAGAAGCAAAATGCGAGATTATGTACAGAAGTACACTTCACGTATATGAAGATTACTGTAAAATAATAATCAAATTTCACATATGTGTGTAAATGAGACCGGTGCGTCCATGCTCCGGTTTAACATGTTCAGTTCTGTAACAAACATTCTTGGTATAGATACGAAACCTACAATCTCATTTGAGCCACGCCATGACAAAACCAACATAATGGATTTGCGACCAGCATGGATCCAGACCAGCCTGCGCATCCGCGCAGTCTGATCAGGATCCATGCTGTTCGCTATCAGTTTCTCTACTTGTTATAGGGTTTGTAAGCGAACAGCATGGATCCTGATCAGACTGCGCGGATGCGCAGGCTGATCTGGATCCATGCTGGTCGCAAACCCATTATGTTGGTTTTGTCATGATGCGGCTCATTTGGGAATACAGATGTACTTCTTAATAATACTTAATATTATATTTTTTTCCAGTCAATATACGGTGACCGATGTAAATACTGACCGTGGCAAACTGTCTCAACTGTCCATTCATCCAGCACAAAGAGTGGACACTACAATGTTCACATGTTCAGCGGCCAACGCGTTTGGCCAAGATTCAACCGCTACCTACCTCACAGTTTTAGGTAAGTTAAAATGTCAGTCAAAAAATACCATTTATATTTCACACAGTCACCAATGAGATATAATCGATATCAATCACTGTTTATCATAAGTATGATTAAATCTTAATTTTTAAATTAAATACGATCGCAATGAAGTATAAAGCTTAAAACGTGTGAAAAATAAGTGTTACCTCTGCAGAACGACACTCTCTAGAGTTACAACCCCTTTACAACAACCGTATCAATTCATCCTAAAATAAGGCTTCCCAACAGACTCTCTGTAAGGGTTTTGCTCAGCAGAGGTATTGCTGCATACTGTATATTTATCAAAACAATGTACAGTTATATTATCATAATATCAGAGCGTTTTTTTATACACATAATTTATGATCGCTTTTCAAAAATATGATTTTAGAAGAGAAAAAGCTATTCATGAATGTCATATTTAGTTAATATAATGAAATTTCCCTTTGAAAAATATCCATTTTCTTCAATCATTATAGTTTAGAGATTAACACGAGAATGCGATATTTGCTTTTCTTAGAAATTTACAAACGTCATTCTTTCTAATTACACGAATGTACTTTGGTATGATTTTATTATATTGTAATGATTTATTTGAGATTAAATCCGGTTCAATCCTGTTTAAATACGCAGAATGTTGGAATATTTAACTTGACAAAAAAGGACTGTTTACATTTTAATTTTAAAGACCCATTATGCCCCAGAAAAGCTTTTATTTTTATTTCTCAAAAGCTTTTTAATTTAGATGTACTTTTATAGTATCATTGGTTAACTGCCTGAACCATGTTATCTATCTGTGGCTTTCTGGCAATGCGTACAGTTATAGTAAATAAGTATTTTGTATGGAAGTCAAAATGCTACAGTGTTAACATTTTGCTACTTTTATCTTGGAGCTTAATATATGTATGTATATCTGTGCTTTTATGACAAATTATTTCACATGTATCGCTACTTTCTTCTGGTAACAAGAATCTACATTAACTAAAATCATTATTCAAACATTATTATATTTAACGTTTGTCTATTGTAAAGAAAGTAAAAACATATTTATTTCTGAGGCATAGTGTGCCTTTAATGCAAAAAGATAAAATATTAATGTGTTTTGTGTTTACAGATTAAATCACACTTTGTTGATTATTTCTTATCTAGTAAATCATAGTCATTAATTTTTATTTGTTATTTTAGAGCCGCCGGATGCCCCCGGAAACTTGACATTGATCAAAAAGGGCAGTCGATATGTTGTGCTGGTATGGACCCGGCCTTTTGACGGAAACTCGCCCCTTTTAGAGTACGTTATAGAATACCAGAATACGACGGGTAAGCGTTGAATAGATTTCATGATTCTTGTATATGAAAAGGTTTTTGTTCAACTTTACAACTGTTTATAATTGAAAATATTTTTTTGAAAATAATTCTGAAACAACAACAACAACAAAAACACAAACAAACAAACAAAACAGAACAACAAAAAAAAAACACAACAATTAACGACAACAGACAAACAAAAACACCAACACAACTTTAACCGAATAAAGATAGTGGAATAAAAAAGTTATAAGAGTACTGAAAAAAAGGTTAAAAAAAAAGAAAACCTAAAAAAAGGTAAGTCAAACACATAAAAAGGCCTGCTCATGGACGGTTGTGGTAATTGCTAGGCTACCGCCTAAACACTCATAGCCCCACCTTGAGCAGAACTCCACATTCACACACAAAATATCATGCTATTTCAGGAGAAAAACGGAGTGCTGTCCGAAATGTATCTATCAACGCTGATGCACTTACCGCCACGGTAGATAACCTACACCCGTCCTTCCTGTATAATATCCGGATACGTGCCCGCAATGCCGTCGGTCTGGGGTTGACAAGTCACCAAGTGTCGACGAAAATGTTAGAAGAACGTAAGATATTATTGATTATTGATTATTACACTTGTTTCTGTGGACCCGTAGAATTGTTAATAAAACGACGCGTAGTATCTTTTATATATATATCACAGGGTGAGAAAAATGTGCAGCCTAACCGAGACTCGAACCCTGGACCCTCGGTATACCGTACCGCGGCTCTACCAACTGAGGACTGAGCTATCTGGCCGCTTACACATCTTCTCCACTAAATAGTGAACAGTTCTGAACCGTGATTGTCTACGTAGGGACAGGAAAATATTACAAATAACGTTCCATGTAGTATTTACTTCTATAACTTTTGTGAATATATCATTATTTTATATCAGATATATTGTTAAGCCCGGTCATTCTAGTGAATAGCCTATACATGGAATATTTCATGGGATATTGGTTTTCTACTCCTAGCGGATCACAAAATGTCACGTGATAAAGTCTTTGTGACATTAACAGTAGTTGTGTAATGTACTTGTTCAACAATGTTTATAAGAGCCGTGTTGTATTCATTTCATGGCTTAAAGCTAAACAATTGAGCACTTTTATTAAAATGGCCAAAATAGAATAAAAAATAAAAAATATTAAATTCAAATATTGACAGTGGTATGAAATAACACCACGCATTTGTCTCACGAATTATTTTGTATTTACAGCGCCAAATGGTCCGCCAATAGAGGTCGATGTCACAGCTCTTGGTTCCCAGAAACTGAAAGTTTCATGGAAGGTGTGTTAACATTTAATGCATTTCATATCGTTATTTGCACGAACTGTTTATTTGATCCGTATTGTACACCATAGGGTAATAACATATGTATATATTAACAAATGCTTCATTTTTGGTCCAGAAATTGAAGAAATGTTGATCATATTTTACATAATTATGTTACTTATAACTAGACCTACACAACGTATATCTAACCAAAAGTTTATTTTTCACGAGATACGAGAATTTTGCTCCTTTGCGCACCATACAAAATAATAAATACCATTCACCTCTTTCAGCCTCCTGCCCTTGACCATCGTAACGGTGTTATTCTCGGCTATTATATCGGCTACCAAGAGACGAATATTGCCTCCCAAAGACAAGTCATCAGTAAAGATATAGACCCTGACAAAGATGAGCCCGAGGACGAGGTATTCGTGGTCATCTCAAATCTGAAAAAGTTTACAGAATATCTAGTCAACGTAAAGAGCTACAATAAAGAAGGTCCGGGGCCTGCATCGACTGACGTTAAAGTAATGACGTTGGAAGATGGTAATTGCTTCGGATATTTTATTATTACTAATTCATCATTCACGCTTGTTGCATTTATGAAAGATATGAATTTGTCTTCTACGATTTGTTTTTGATATAATGATAATCATGGTTTTAAATGATACAATATTAACGAGACTGTCCTTGGTAACATATCACGTGTTAAACAAATGATTATATCTTAAACAGTTTAATATGTTTCCCTCCAGAGGATAAAACTGTAATCACGAAACAAATCAAAGCTGTGTTTCTTTTCCGTATTATCTTTCAGCGAGCTAAATGGACCTTTAAACATTGAATAATGATTCTCGATTAACAGTATTTGTTTAAAGTACCCGTTCGAACAGATATTGACGTTCGCAATTTAGTAATTTGATAAAATCACATTGCAATATAAATCTGACAAATTTCCAGTGTTATCTAAAAGCATGTCCAAATGACATATTGCATTGGAATAAAAAGTCAACACATTGTTTTTTTTTGGGTTCTAAAGATAAATTCATCAATTAATCATTATGAAAGTGACATTATGCTCAATGTTTCATTGTCAAGTTGAGCTGATTTTACTATATAATTAAAAAGATTGACTGATTGACTAACAGTTGATATTGATTAGATAACTATAAATCTGCCTAAAATATAAAAAGACTGCCCATTCTTATTATAAATTGAACGTTTCATGTAAATTCCGATGAATATTTATAGAAATTTCCATGGGCTCTGTGAGTTATTTATTATTTATGCGAAGTATATTTTATGTTAATATATTTTGACTTTCACCTGTTCACTCACTTTGATGTGAGACTGTTACAATTCATGATAAAATGATACTTATAAGTACATTTGGTTAAAGCATTGAAATATATTAGTTCCAAATGTATAAATTACTTCATCGCAATAGCTGTAACAGAAACTTCTTTCTAAGAAAATATTTCAGCGCAACAGTAAATGATATTCAACTAAATTTTAAACTTGATTTTACTTAGAAATCTTTTGGCTGGCTGTTAAGTTCAAAGTTCATGAATATTTATCTTCGTTCTTTAAGTTCAAAGCTAGCTCGAAATTTTCTAATTAAATGAAATTCAATGTCTATCACCGATTTTATAAATTTTTTGGGCTCTCGAAGCAATATCATTCATATTTTATTTTAGTTCCTAGTCAGCCACCAGAGGGCGTCCGCGCATACGCCATTGCGTCACAAGCAATCAACGTGGCATGGAAAGCACCGTCTTTGTTCGCCTTGCACGGTGTCCTCCAAGGGTATAAAGTCCTGTTCAAACCAGTTAGGAAAGATGAAGGTATATAAGTACTTCCGGTACATGTATATATTTGTTTGTTCATTAATTATTGCTTTATACATTAGTTTTTTGAAGAAAAAAAACAACAAAACAACAAGAATAAAAAAGCAACGACAATAACACAAATATGCTAGCGGATATAATTGATACATAATTATTTATATGAATTAATGACGTCAGAGTATTCCAAAGCATTCAATATCATATTCGTTGCATCTTATTTATAAATATCATACAATTCAATGGTATTAACTTTCTGATTTTTGTCTTTAAAGAAACGTTCATATATCTAGAGATAACAATACTTGTACGCATATACATTTTCTGATTTCAAAACCTTTTTTTAAAATTCTAGATGAGACTGACTCCAACATAAAACTTTCCCGAGGAGTTGATGTAACACTAGATGGCTTGGAAAAGTTTACAAATTACAGTATCGAAGTATTGGCATATACACGCAAGGGTGAAGGAGTCAGAAGTAGTCCCATATTCGTGCGCACTCTCGAGGATGGTAATTTGCCGTACTAATCACCCTGTTTCATGTCACAGAGATATTTTGTCAAAGTTAATTTCCTTTAAAAATATCAAATTCCAATGCGTCATTGATGTGTAAAAAATTTGTTGATAATGATGAGCATGGTTCTGTGTTGCAAATGTTATAATTACACTCATGTAGATAATAATTATACAATTTTTACACTAGTAAGGTGTAATTTTATAAATATAATTATGTAAATTCTTTTCTGATTACTGTTATTTAGTAAAATTTGCATGTATTTGGACTTACCTCTGAAATAAAACCCGCAAGGAGCCTAATTTTTGAACGAAGAATTATTGACGTAAATGTGCAAATGAGAAATGTTATATATTCTTAACATAGAAAATTATATTTTCACAGTCCAAAAAAAATGCTGCAAAATCTGAAGACTTTGTGCAGTGTTTTCATTTATTTACAAATGGAACAACCTTCACCTTTTCGTTGATTTATTTTACACTTTCAACATTTTCGTTAATATCATACATTTGCCTTTACAGTTCCCGGAAGACCTCGTGGAATTAAAGCATGGGCCGTAAGCAATACAAGTGTAATTGTATCATGGCAAAATCCGGAAAGTCCTAACGGCATTCTGACGTCATTTAGTGTTTACTACAGTAACACGTCTGCTAGTGCGCAGGTAAAATGCCAACCCTCAAATTGCATTTTGAATTTCTGCTCAAATCCCCCGAAAGCAGTGGGGACCTAGACATTTGGACCAGAAAACGTTGTTGAAAATTCTCCAAATTTTATAATGTTACAAATGACCTGTGAAACGCTAATACATATTTATTAGAACTAGCGCTAGAAACTTACATTGTATACACATACATGTAAAGTATGTAAAGTTTTTTTCTACAGTTTTAAAGACAGTAAAACACAAGTGCATGCCAGGGCTAATTTAATTTTCAGTTCAATCTGTATGTATGGAACGCTGTAGCATATTCTATATTAGTTGTTTAAGCGCCGCTTTATTGACTTGAAAAAGTGTTTGCTTCTTAACGACATGTTATTTGATTTTGTTAATGCCATAAGCGGCCTTATTTATAGGAATGGTATTTGATTTTGTTATTGATATAAGCATACTCTTGTTCTTTGCAGGAAATGAAAATAGATGTACCGCCTGTCCAATCATCGTATGTTCTGCGCGAGCTTGAAGCAGACGTGAACTACTGGGTGAGGGTCAGCGCAAATACCCGGATTGGCGAGGGAGAGAGCACGCAAATTGTAACAGTAATGCCTGTAGTTAAAGGTATATTACTTGAAAGGTTATATTTAGATGCGTAAAACCTTTAAATATAACTTTTTATCAGGTTAACATAAAGTTAATGAATATTTTAGAACTAACATAGAAATATTTCTATTCATATTAATTATGACTTTCTTTTGGTATCCCCCAAATTATGTTTTCTAGAAATTTTTGCTTGTATTTGGCAGTTATATATTCCAAGTTGTTTCTTTGTTTTTCATTACAATAATTAAATTTTCATCAATAAATATTGAAAACGAACTATTAAGTAGAGATATAATTCATTCTGAGTAAAAACTGTAAAATCATCTCCTAATTAATGCTACGCTATAGACAAGAAAAAATTTAAGTAGATCTTAAATATGCATTTTATAAATATGTAGAAATATTTTGACGTCTTCCAAGAACCAATCAGTCTACACGTTGATAAACATTTTTAACAGTATTGTTGTTAATCTTATCAAATACTGTTCAGAAATTATGATTTTAAATGGAAAACCCCACGGTAACACTAAAGTTTGTATTTGAATTCTAACATGCAGACTTTTATGCTGATAAAGCTCTTTTTTTCCGTCTGGACACCAACATAAGAACGGAGGCCGCTGTGCAACCCTTTTTTTAAAAAAAATGTAGCTATTTCTGTTTTATGAAATTTATAAAATGCAGCTTTAACTTTAGTCAGATTGGATCTAGTTATACATTATTATTAAGTGTGACTATTCTATATATAGCCCCAGCAAGGATTTCCAGTTTCTCAGAAGAGGTTATTGTGTCATGGCAAGCCACAGTTATGCTGTCATGCGTTGTTGTAGGAGATCCTGAACCGGAAGTCACGTGGTCGACAAGGTATGTTGAACGGATGTGACGTCAGAAGACAGAGACATTATGTAAAATTATGCTAAAATAGAATAAACACTAATAAAGATTCACGCTAGCAACAAGTCTTCATTGATGAGATAATATTTCAAATTTATTTGATACAAATATTTGAATTTCAAAGTTGCAAACTTTTCACAAGACATTGACATATGTTCGGAAGTTTCAGTAAATTTATCAAATAAATTTTATTACTTATCTTAATATTTTGCTTATAATAATTAAATGCGTGAATCTCACTTCAGATACGGTGACTTGGAAAACAATGACAAATTATCAATACTTCAAAATGGTTCCCTGTTTCTTATCGCCGTGATTGGTTCCGATGCCGACAACTATACTTGTAAAGCTAACAACATGTACGGAAGTGACGTCATTACCTACAGTCTGAGCGTGCAAGGTAAGTTCATACCATTCAATGAAATCTTCTTTGCATTTTTATTGCTATTTCTGCAAATGAAATTAAACATAACCAGGTCTTCGCAAAATTACATGTATTGAAAAGTTATAGTAGAATCATTAGCAGGTACAATAACATCGGTCTATAAATAGATCTATAAAATTCTAGGTCTAGAAGCACATTTTTTTAGAGGATGTGAAAAGATCACATTGTAAATAACAGCCCTTTTTGAATTTCGGATATAACGAATAGGTTATAATTAAAGCGGTTTTCAGTTTTTTTTTTTCATTGGTTTATTATTTTTACATATATCGTTCCATATAATTGTTAAACCAAAAGGATGAAGGTGCAGAGCGAAATTTGCCCACATTAAAATACATAAACAATAAGGAAACTCATCAATACCTGTAATCTACCGGTCCGCTCTCTATATTTAAACTAGTGAAGCATCTTCTATTTTTAGAAATGAAAGTCACGGGCGCGTTTTAAATAGCAGGTGTGAAGAAGAAGGCATAACACCGATATTATATAAATAACACATGGGTTTGTGGGTAACAGTAAAAATATCATCCCGAGGAAAATACTGTTACCCGAGGCGTAGCCGAGGGTAACAGTATTTATACGAAGGATGATATTTTTACTGTTACCCACAAACCCATGTGTTATTTATTTTATTACCCCGAACAAATACTGTGATGATCTGAATTTGTCAACTAAATCTAACTGTAACAAAAATAAGCCAAGAGAAGCAATAACTAAACTGTCCTTACCTTGCAAGTTTTAAGTGCACTGAAGACCTACTTGAGAAGCTGTTTTCCTTTTATTCTTTAGGCAAGTGATGATATCTACCAGTCATAAACATAAAATAAGCTGTGTTTTATTCAGAAAACAAAACACTAACCCATTTATAAGGTTATGATCTGTGAAATCTGATCCTTCTGCATCCAGAATATTCTTCGCATGGTTTTTGACAAAGTGCATTTAGAAAATAACGATGATATCCTACAGATGTCTGTCCACCAACTCTATCTGTAACGTTTCACTGGTTAAAATTGTGAAATTATCCTTTGTTGCATGCTTTCATTGTCTGCATGTTCCAGTTTGACAAAATTATTTACATTACAGTTACTTCCGTTGAAAACGGATGTTTCCTGTTGACTATTAAACAAAAAGATATTTAATACGCGAAAGGGACTCTAGGGTGCAAAGAACTAAATTTTATCAGAGTAATAGTTACTTCGGCGATGCCCTATCGTCGAAAATAAGAATGAATCGAGAGAAAAATGGCGGCCATTTTATTTCATTTTATTTAGAAAATAGACCACGTGACCAGATTTTATACTGTTAAAAAATACTGTTACCTATGTAACAGTACAAAATTCGTAGTCACGTGGTACACTTGCATTAACAGTAAGAATAACTCCCAGAGGCCTATGGGAAATTAACATTACGAAAAAAGTGAGGGGTAATAAAATGCACTGTTTACTGAAATGCTCACTTTGAAACAACATAGAAATGTTTTTTTAACAGAAAAAAATAAATCTGAAGGCCGCTTTAAAAAAATTGCACTCAATTCGAAAAGCATATATAATTTAAATAAGGCAATTCCAAATGTTTTAACAAATTACGATTCTTTAAACGTTTCCGTTATTATAGTTGATGCTAGTTCGAAATGTAAGTATATGTATGTTTGTTTTGTTGTCGTCTGCATCTCCTTGTGGTACAGTGTTTTTAATGCACGAAAATATATCTTTCTTATACCCCCCATTCAATTTGTATGGTGTACATTACATATAAATTTTCATTTATGATATTGTCGCGGTATCCAGAACGTATACATGTAACTAGATGGAAGGAAAGAATAAGCTTTAGGCCGCTATTCCATTGGTACGTGATCCGTGACCCGCGTCAGTGATCCGTGTCCGGGCATGTCCGTGGGTATTATTCCATAGATACGTATTTTTCTATATATTTTTAATTGAAGTATAGCGAACAGAGGATAATTATTTGTAGAATATGATATAATTTCATTCAAATACCGAAAAAAGTTGTAACATCAACGAATAAGGTAACAAACATTAAATACAAGTTAGGTTTTTAAAAAATATCTCTTTAACAACCGAACACCAGATGTTGGGTTTTTTTTTAATCTGTCATTGCTGCATCATAAACTTATAGGTTCTCCCACACTATTTTGGTGAGCTCTTTAGTATTTTCTTTCGAAATCGATAAAGTATTTAATTTCGTTCGAGGCATTTTGTAGGGCTGAGACATGTCCGTGACTGTCCGCGTCCGTAAAAAATCGCTCATCCTGCGAAACGTCGCGGATGCCGTCGCGGAAGCGGATGGTAAACGGACAAAAGGAATAGATTCAACGTTTTCTTTGATAAGCGAATAGGTAGCGGACACGGATGACGGACGCGGACCACTGATCACGTATCAATGGAATAGCGGCCTTATGCCCCGGTCACATATTCACGGATAATGCCACGGAAGAGCTACGGTCTAATTGTTCACGGATTACTACGGAAATGTGAAATTCCGTAGTCTGCTACGGTTCCAGTACGGACACACAACCGTATGAGTACGGAGTCCGACGGATTTTCCACCAAAAGATCCCGGAGAGACACGGACTATTACGGACCGACACGGTTTGATATGGAGCGACACGAATCAGGACGGACGCACTACGGATACACTACGGTCTGATACGGTATAAGCACGGGTTAGTACGAATAAGTACGGTCTGATACGGAGAAGGACGAATTGATACGGAGAAGAACGAATTGCCACGGATCTATACGGACCTAATACATCCATCCAGAACCTCTTGCATGCTCATTTTCAAAATGCCTCACAAGCAAAGAACACTTAGAACACGAATTGCAGAGTTCAATGATTTTGGCGGAGAGGATTCGGCCTAACCGCCTCCGACCCCCGAGACACATCAGGTCCGATTAAAGGACGCTGGATCCTCAACAAGTTCGGCCATGAGAGCCTCATACTAAACATGAAGTGGTCTTATTCTGTATTTATGTATTTTGTAAAAGCCCGTCTCTAGTCCACCATCTCGTCTGTCTTCTTTTACCTGATTAGATATGGACTAGTAAGCATTAATGAAATATGTTGATCAATACTGCTTCTCTATTAATTTTAAAATTTGTTGTTCATTTTACAATTACATTAATTATCGTGAATGTTTATGTTTTAAAAATATGTAAAAAGCTTGTTAATTAATCTTATAATAACTCAAGGGCCAGCGTCCCAGGCTTATGAGACACTTCGTTTTATGTACATATTTACTCCAAATTCACGATCCAATGTTTGTAAAATATGTAACATTAAATGTTATTCTAATCCTTATGAAGTGTAGTACGATATTATTATATTTTACCTCTATGCATGTCATCAAGCAGCTCGACCACTGCCCCCCTGCATTCTGAGTCATTTCAATATAAAGTTGCAGCCAATAAATGGCAATTATCATTTATTGAATGTTCCCGCAAATATGTCTGTTTTTTAACAAGAATGTAGTATTTATACCCTTGAAAAAGTACATTCATCCGTACTAAACAGTCTTGGACCGTACAATTCCGTACCGTTTCGTGTTGCAACGCAATAAACCGTATAAGACCGTGCTAATCCGTGCCTCTCCGTAGTACAACGTATTACCATCGTGGCTTTCCGTGACAATGTCGTATTAATCCGTATTAAAACCGTAGCCTATACGTAGGGTAACCGTACAAATACGTAGTTCTCCGTACTAAACCGTGGAAATCCTTGACAAGTTGGTGGACTACGAATCAGTACGGACTAGTACGGTTTTCATACGGACCAGTACGTATCAGTACGGTTTAATACGGACTAGCAGGGACACGCTACGGTTGATTTTTCCGTTTTTGTGCATGTTCAAAAATTGTCAAGGATCGCTACGGATATACAAGGACTACTACGATTGATTACGGTTACACTACGGAGAGCTACTGACCAGTACGGGTAGCTACGGACGATGCCGGAATTAATCCGTGGCTCTTCCGTGAGCGTATTCCGTGAATATGTGACCGGGGTATTAGAAAAAACTTTCAAAAAAGATACCTCAGTGGGTGAGGCAACATCTGTCTGTGTCAACGACTTCCGGTCATGCTGAATACTTTCCTTAACTGGCAACATTGTCACTTAAAGATCAGTTAGTCGAAGGCGCAATGATTAAAAATCCAAGTTTTAAACACGTCGAGTTGTGGAAAAATAATCATATATTTGTTTCCAGTTTTCTAATTACTTGTATTTTGTTTTTTATTTTTGCATATCAATATTGCATAATCATTTCAATCTTTTTGTCTCTTGTTATTCTTTTCGTTGCTTATTCTTTAATAACGGTGCTTAGAGCATGTTGAGCACTGAGCATGTATACGGCAGCTTGATCCAGCGCAGACGACAAGAGCAGCCGACACAGTTATGTCGTCTGATCATCGTCTGCAAGCTGTTCGCTATTCAGTCAATACTCCCTTAAAATGATAAATGGTTTAGTCCAGAATGAACGATTGACACGTCCATTTAAGACATTTGGTAAATTGTAGGAGTTATAATGATATTCAAGTATATAACCCTACAGAACAGCTATACAAAATATTGAAACTGAAAATGCATTTGATTGTTGGTAACACGTTTTTCTGTCCACTATTAAAAGGAAATATAATGCCCAGTTTTGTACATATATGTAACATAAACAGTGTTAATAAAAATTGATTTTTTATTAAAATAGTTTAATTTAAGTAACAAGTTAAACGCCTGATGAAAAAACTGTAATAGAAGAAATTATTTACATAACTTATATCAGAATTTTCAGTAAAATAATAAAATCATTAATTTTCATTTTGTATAAAATTCATTGAATGACAATAACTAGTTGCTGTACGTAGTTTATACGTAGTGTAGACATATTATTTATTGTATTCCAATTAATTATTATATTATAATGTGTAGGCACATTATGCCTCAGAAATCCAAACTTTTGTAACTCTTTAGAAACGTCAGGCATGTGTTAAATAATATTTTGATAATGGGCTAAGAGCATGTAAGATGTTTAACAAGTGAAGAAAGTAGTACTGGACATACAGACATTTATTATTCTATTATAAAAGTAGCAAAATATCTACAAAATAATATTTTGACTTCCATACAAAATACTGATTTTACTATAATTATAACCAAATGCCAAAATAACAAAATCAGCAAAAGATAGTTTATGCATAATTATGGCAAATGAGAAATTGTAACAAGATTCTTAAAATAAAAATGTGTTTGCAAAATAGAAATAAAAGCATTTCTGAGGCATAACGGGCCTTTAAAATTAACGATTGTTTTATAATTGTGAACTGTGAATGTTTTTTTTGTTATATCTAGCGGTAATATGCCATTTGTGTAAGTCTAAATTAATACTTAATTTATTTGTATCTATCAAATCTGTGATGACAGTGAACGTGCGTTAAGAATTTGCGTTGTTTTGATTTATATAATATTTATAATATTTATTTTCATTACAGCTCCGCCTAGAGCACCTATACTGTCCCTGGCAGCTATTACGTCATCAACAGTACAAGTTAACTGGTTGTCGGCCAGTAATGGCGGCAGTCCAATTTTAGGTAATAAATATGATAAAAATACTTTAAAAAATCGTTGTAGTTGTTGTTTTGTATGTAGAGCGAGACTGACAAAATCTATTTACATAAAAATAAATCTTTAAATCGACATAACTTTTAACTTTCGTTATCAAATTGAACAAAGACATCTTTTTATTGTCAGGGTTTTTACTACGTTACCGGAAAGAGCACGACGTGTGGCAGGAAGTTCCAGTGGGACCCAAGAATCGAACCTACACGTCTTCCGGCCTACTATGTGGCACTACATATAAGTACACAATCACCGCCATTAACAGTATTGGTAGAAGTGAGAGCAGCAATGTTGTTGAAGAGAAAACAGTCGGCTCACGTAAGTATATAAATAAAATTTCAAAAGTCATGACATGTCATTAAATCACATCGTGTCATGTCATGTCATATCATTCCATGTAATATCATATCATAAATCATATCATAATATCACCATACCATACCATACCGTACCGTACCGTACCGTACCATACCATACCAAAACCATACCATACCATACCATACCATACCATACCATACCATACCATACCATACCAAACCATACCATACCATACCATACCATATCATATCATGTCATAGTCATAGCATAGCATGCCATGATATTCCGATATCATATCATATTGTATCATATCATGTCATGGCATATACCATGTCATGTTTATATGTGTCATAATATGTTATACATATACCTTGTTACTCGGGAGAGAAAAAGTGGAGAACTCTTTTTTCATCACTTCTTTGTTCTAGTTAAAAGCTATCTTTGTTAAAATTCATAAAACAGTAACTTTAATTATAGATTATAAGGGTTACAATGTGCTTTTTTTATTTCAGCACCGATAGCACCCCTCGAAACAGAATTATTAAAATCTGTAAACGTCACTTCCGTTGAGCTAGACTTGCGCACATGGAGACGGGATGTATGCGCAATTAAATTCTTTTCTATAAAATACCAAAAACTGGGGAAGAAACAATGGAAAGAGGTGCCGAGCACTGTTAATTGGAATACAGTATGATTTTTTTTCACATTCTACTATTAATCAAGCATTTTATAATTATCTAATATTTTCTGCATTTTATTTACTTGTAAGATTTCGGCTGGCAACGTCATTTTCCGTAATATTATATTTATCTTAAAAGCGTCCAAGAATAAATTTGTTCTTAGATGTTTGTCAAAAGTTTGTCCTAAACGCTGTATCACTGTTTCTTATATACATTTATTTCCATTTTGTTTTGCTATTCACTCCGGTATCTGTCCTAGCTATTTATTTATCAGTAAAATAATTCGAGACATGTTGATACTTATGTCACTAAGTGATAGTATATTCTATAAATAGTGACCGTTTTCTGACTGCTAAAAATACTATGTAACTTAATGACATTTGTTTTATAAAGTTATTGACATTGACCATTTGACAGTATTGTATGCTTATTTGTTGTACGTACTGTGTACGCATGGGCATATTGCCCGAATGTACTTTGAAATAAACTCTTGAAACTCTTGTTAAGACGCTTTGCAATGTCTTATTAACTTATGAGGAAAGGAAAATAAGCCAATTGTTTATGCTTTGCAATGTAAGGTATTGTCATGCAATATAGTTTAAATGTAATATTACGTAATATCATATTTTATTTTGCAAATCAATATATACATTGAAACGTAACGTAACGTAACGACACTTAATGTACTTTATACGTACTTCAGATAGATAATATGTTTTTTTTTTATTTTGTAGACGGTGATGCCGGTAGAAGGTCTTCATCCTGCAAGTAGATACAAGATGTTAGTCACTGCTTACAGTGATGCTGGCTCTAGCGAATGTGTCCTTTCTTTTTCTACATTAACATTTTCCGGAAGTGAGTAGTTAGATTTCAAATTACACGTGTGTCATTAATTGACCTCTGTCTTCTTTTTGATAGAAACATCCATTTTGAAGAATAAAAATGAACAATTTGAGTATCATTTGTTCAAATGGATTAGAAAGACAAAAAATAGAAACAAACAAACAAGCGAGCGAACAAACGAACGTTTTAACGAACGAACGAACGAACGAAAAAACAAACAAACAAACAAACAAACAAACAAACAAACAACTAAGCAATAGTTATTTCATTAATTTTGTATCCATGTGTTGTACGTGAAATATCTTTGCATAATGAAACATATTTGTCGTTGAGTGTTTATTGCTCATATTTGTTAATTAATGTATTTCACAATTATGCTTTAGGTACACTCGAACCCCTGTTTGTCGTCCATAAAGACGAGGCCGTTTTCTACGAGGATCTCCGCATCATGCTGCCATTATGCGCCGCCCTGGTCGTGTCAATAGCCGTGTCTGTGGGCATGGCGTTGTTTTGTGTAAGGCGAAGACACGTCATGCGATATAAAGGTGAGACCTTATCTTGAATATTATCAACATCAAACGCGTTTTCCTTTAAATCCCCAAACGGTCTTCTCTCTTGATTAAATTATAAATTTTTAAATTAAAAAAAAGTTGGCATTTTGTCGTTTTAACATAATTTGATGATGGATTTCACAGATGTGGTTAATGAAAGAAAACCGGGAAGAAAAATATCAATTTGTATAATTAAGACCCGCGCAAAATTTACATGCCACTGGCATAACTAATAATTTCAAAGTAAATTTGAGCCGCGTCACGACAAAACGAACATAATGGGTTTGCGACCAGCATGGATCCAGACCAGCCTGCGCATCCGCGCAGTCTGATCAGGATCCATGATGTTCGCTTACAAACCCTATAACAAGTAGAGAAACTGATAGCGAACAGCATGGATCCTGATCAGACTGCGCGGATGCGCAGGCTGGTCTGGATCCATGCTGGTCGCAAACCCATTATGTTGGTTTTGTCGTGACGCGGCTCATTTGTTGTTTTGTAGAGACGAGTTCTAACATAAGAAGAGATATTACTGCGGAGACGTCCCTGATGAACGACCTCGACAAAAGAAATATAAATTATGAACTGGAGAGTCCCCAGGACACACGGTTTAATTGTCGTAATGTAAACCTATTGATATCCTTGACGTCAGACGAAAACCTGTCGGGTAATAACAGCGGCTGGTGTTTCAATGACAGCAGCAAAACAACGAGCGATAACGCTTCCTTAGAGCGATACGGTAAGTTTACAAGATTTGCCTCCCTTGTTTTACACCGTTTCATTTTTTTTTAAAGTTTTTTTTTGTAAATTAACAAAAGAAAAAAAGGATAAAAAGTAGCTTGAAATGATTTTAATATCGATTATTGATACTAATAACATGCGTTTATATCTAAACAATGTAAATTAGAGGAAATATTTCATATAGTGTTACATTTTAAGGAAGAACATTGCCAAGATTTGATGACACTTTTAACTTAGTAAGGGGTATTTTGTGTATGTTTGTTATTGATATTCATCATGATTAGAGAACATTTTCAAAATGTCTACGCACTAAACAATGACCACTACATGCTTAAGCAGCACGGATGCGTAGGCTTATCTTGGTCTGCACTGGTCGCAGAAGTATTATCGCTAGACACCGGTGCAACCGACTTAGAGTTATATGCTAGTTTTATCATTTTTGTACATCGTTTGTTATTTTAGAGGAGGATGCCAATATTAACCCATACGCGACATTTAATGAGTTGAAACTTGTTTTCAATGAAAACCCAACCTACCATAAGGCTGAACCGGACTCTGACGATGATTCGGTTAGTCTTGAAAAAGCTGAAGCCCAGAAAGCGGTATGTTTGTTACTAAGAGATGTTATATAACGCTTGTTATCGAAAGCTCGGCTATTTTGTTGTGTTGAAATTATACATCATTTTGTCTTTATTTCTTTTATCATTCTTTGGGTTTCGTTTCTTATCACTTTGGTAATGATAAGCTTCAAGCGTTGAATGATATGTTTAATGCTGCTACATGTTTATCTACAATAAATTGTTGTATATTTAATACATTTTTCTTTGTAAAATGCTACATACAGATTTCTTATTATATTTTGACCATATTTATTTAATACATAAAACTTAAATATCATTCTTAAGGCACAATCTTTATACAGCTATACAATGTATATTTAAATATACCGATATTTGTAGATTTGTATATTTAAAAGGTTTCTTATGTTTTATATTACAGATGCAAGCTACTACAGACAGCTCCGAGGATTCCAAATTTGTTCAAAATGTCCGAATACCACATAAAACACGAGGGGCGGAGCAACACAGCTACGACAATCAAGGTATGGCGAGTATACAGTTGTTTTCTTTTCAAAATATCATTTTAAAACATATTCGATAGATTACAACGGTACCCCTCTGCTTTGAAAAAAAGAGAGTAAAAGATAAAAAATGCAGGAATAGAGATGGTATGCGTTTTCAGACATTGTCCTGGTGAAATTGTACGAACTAAAAGCATACACTTCTGCTTATACCGCGATACAAAATAGTTCCACGGAATCATTTGTTTATCTCAGTAATATGCTATGATTTATCTTAGTATAAGGATAACATACATAACTAGTTGGTTCCAGGAAGCGGACTCGAAAGTGATTAAGCTAGTTTTACTGTAATGCTTTCCCGCCAAAAAAATTGTTCTAACATCGGCCAATATCGTAGCAAATCGATTATTATCGGAAGATTTTTTTCCGTCAAAATCTTGGGAATCAGGTGATTTACAATCACTCATCATTTATCGCTTTATACTTAATTCCAGTTATAAACGGTTAATAATTATTGAATACCGAAAATCGTGAAAAATACATTCCGAAAATGACCGATTAATTACGATATTGGCCGATGTTAGAATTTTTTTGGCGGGAAAGCATTTGACTCTGAGTAAGACTACCGTAATATAGGTTGCAAGAACTTGTTTCTCAATCGAGCTTAAATAAATGTGTTTAAACCAACAGGCATTGGGATATGTAACAAGCAATGTATAAAATTAAAACAATATTTGTAGGCGTAGTTCTAAGCCCGCGGAAGTATGCCAGTGCTGATCAAATACATGCGCTTTTCCAAATGGCCCCTCCGCGTCCACAGAGTGCGTACAGTAAAAACAGAAGTCAAGGCACGAGAAGCACACCGAGTGAGAAAGGTAAGCATTTACTGATTATATTGATATGCATGGAACAAGAATAACTATACGATAATTGTTTTATGTGTATAATAATAATAGTAATAATAATAATAATAATGATAAATAATGATGATGATTATAATAATAATAATAATAATAATAATAATAATAATCTAAAATTATACAAATTTTAAAATGATGAAAATGCTTGTGCTTGACTAAACTGTCTTTTCACTCAAAAATACATTAACTATTTATGTTTACCCATTATTAGGCCTTACAATTTAGTCTTATTAGAAATATCTAATAAAACGTCAAATGGCACATGATAGTGAAATAACGAATTGCTTTTCTAGTTACCTCCCTTTACCTTAAATGAAATTAAAAGTTAAGAGAGGGAGAAAGTTTTGACTGCGTTAGGTTTATATATTAAAATTTTCTATATATCTGACATCATCATACTCATCTATTTCAATTGTTTTAAGCCCTCTCCTACAAAAATGATAGTTCATTAGCATTGCTTAACTTTTAGTATTGTATTGTTCGTTTATTTGACTTCTAAATTATTTCAGCCAGAATCAAGTGTAACTCATCATAAGCATTTGTTTTCTATTATTTACACAGATACAGTTGACAAGTAGCGGTGTCTTCTTTTTTAAAGCAAAAAAATGAAATCCGGTTATATTCCCAAAATATGAATTTAAAGAACTTTAAAATAATACGTATAAGAATCTAAAAAAATCCATTCACAAATAAAAAAGGTACTAGGATTTAAAAATTCTGCTGCTATATAATGTATATAAATATCGGCTTTTTTGTCAACCGGACAATCTGCTAAATTCTGGTAGCAGGTGCTTGTGACGTCATCAGTCAAATTGTCTATAACTTGATATAATTAATACATTGCAGGCAGTCAAAGACACAGTCTTATATCAAGTGTTACAACTGTGTCCAGCTCCAGGGATGAGCTTATGGAAGCGTTTGAGAATCTAAATAGAAATCCGCCGCCGCCAGTCGTGTATGAGACAGAGGCCGACTCGTTATCACAACCGACGGACAGTTCGAGTACGAAAACTGTTTATACTTACATAATTAATCTTATTTTTCTATCTGCATGTTGTTTAAGTGAATGAATGAATGAATGAATGAATGAAGGCTGACTCGGTATCACAACTGATGGACAGTTCGAGTACGAAAACTGTTTATACTTACACAGTTAGTTTTCCTATTTGCATGTTATCATAAGTAAATGAATGAACAAAGGCTGACTCGTTATCACAACCGAAGGACAGTTCGAGTACGAAGGCTGTTTATATTTGCACAGTTAATTTCATTTTACTATTTGCATGTTATCTAAAGTAAATGAATGATGAAGCCTCACTGAAGGACAGTTGAGTATGAACACTATTTCAAAGTTAGTTTTCCTTTTGCAGGTTATCTTAAGTACATAAATGAATGAATGAATGAATGAATGAATGAATGAATGAATGAATGAATGAATGAATGAATGAATGAACGAACGAACAAATGAGGAAATGAGAATGATTAATTTAATGAATGGTTAAAATAAATGCATGAGCGCATGAATGAATGAATGAATGAATAAATGAATGAATAAATAAAAAAATAAATGAATGAATGAATGAATGAATAAATAAATGAATGAATGAATGAATGAATGAATGAATGAATGAATGAATGAATGAATGAATGAAGAAGGTGATGATTTCGAGGATGATTATAATAATAATAATGATGATAATTATAGTAAGGAGAGAAAGGGGAAGAAGAATAGAGGTCTTATAATAAAAGAGATGTATTTACCTTAATATATAACATTTGACTGTGCAAAGACGTGGTAATTACATGGTGTAAACAGTGAAGACCCATGATGCCTCAGAAATGCTAACATTTTTATCTCTCAAAAACCTTCGTTTTTGTTCCTTATTGCAGTTTCCAAAACCAAAACAGAAAGCTTTCTGCTGAATAACTCTGTATTTGATGACAGCATTGAGTCCTTTTTTAACTTTATTTTTTATTATCATGATCTTTGTTTTATAAAATTTCCACTGTTAAGTTTTATATTATAGGTACAGAGCCAGGTATTTGCCTGTTTACAGAATCTCCCCCGCAGCCAAATGAACGTCGAGAAGCTTCTTGTGAGGTTCCCAGATATGAATGTAAGACTTAATTTCTCCTGAAAGTTCATGCTACTCAATATAAATCATTATATCGACGCGTTTTCTATTTGATACTGTCAGTTTTTCTAACAAACCTTTGATACTCTGATCCTGAACATTTTAAGTTTTTTTTATTAATATTAAAATAATGTTGTTATGCTTATATTGATGTGAAAACTGTTATATGTGTGCATATTATGGTCAAATCAGAACTGCCATACCTTACCATAATACTTATTATTGCTCTTTGCTGATCAAAAGCCTTAAAATATTAACTTTTAAATATTATCTTAGCTCCTGACGAATGCCAGTATAAAGAGCCACACACTGCTGAATCAAAACCCGCTGATAATCACGAGTCAAGGACGCCGCCAAGGAGGGGTGGTAGGCCCCCTTCTGTTCAGAAAAATAAAGAATCTGCGTACAGAGGGAATGGTATCAGTCGGTAAGACAGCTTGATAGAAAACAAATATAGTTTAAATAATTCTTGGCAACCTTGAATTGTAATTTTTATTTTTCAAACAAAGGAAAATTAAAGGAAATCGAATTTCTATCCGTTTGCTCTTAACTTCGTGATGAATCGAAACTTCTTTATTGTCGTAAATTGTGTCTTATTTCGTTTTCCTATCATTACTTTGCATTTTTAACTTCAACTGTCATTTATGTTTTCTAAAAAAATGACTAGATCTAAATCCTTTTGCTTTTTATACATGTATGCTTTATGACAATTGCGTATTGCACCTTACTTTAACCTCAAACAAACCGTGTCTGCATTTTCACTATGTACAATTTTTTCTCATTGCTCATGAGGGATCTTTCCTATCTTAGATTTTTCAAACATGGTTATGCAATAGCACAATGCACGCGAATAATCAAAAATATGAAAAAATGTATATATATTTTTGTAAAAAAAAAACGCACAAAGTTCGATTGCCATACAATCTATTGGAAAATGAGAATGCATCATATTTTATTACTTTTAATTTTGTGTAGGCAAAATTAATGTATAAGTTATTACAAGAAAGAGAATGCAATAACTTTTATAGTCTATTTCCCTGTCTACATTACTACGGTAGTATAAGGGGAAGGAACTCCAGACTATAACTTTTATTGCTTTGATACTCAAGGGAGACTATTCTATTGAATATTCTAGCACGACTACCAGACCGCGCTGTATAGAGGAAGTGACGTATACATTTACTGGAGAGGAATCCCCGAGTAGAGCAAGAAAACCACAATCGTTTGAAGAAAAATTGCGTTGTACTCGTGAAGACAGAGGTTCATCGGTTTGGAGAAGAGGTAAACAAATGTTTTAACGCTGTCCAATAAAAATAGTTTTGTAAAATCTATGGCATATACTATTTTTATATGTAACTCATAGAAAACCAAAAATTGTTTCGTGTTTCATTTAGAAATAGAGAAAATCTTGACATTAGTATATCACAATACCATGTTGCTTAGTCTTTACCGTACATACGTTAAGCTGAATAACGTCAATTTTGGCTGTTTAAAAATTTGTGTTTTCACTTTGTAAAACTTTCCTAATCACGATAAGTATTTGCTAGTATATTTACCAGGTGGTCGTAGAACCCCGCACGCCAGGACACGGTACGACACCACTCTACAGACGCCCGGAGCAGCCGACAATAAACCATTGGTATCAGCGCAGGTACTCGTCTTCATCATCATTGATAAAACACAATTGAGCCGCGCAGCAACAAAACCAACATAGTGCGTTTGAGATCAGCATGGATCCAGCACACCCTGCGCATCCGCGCAGCCTGATCAGGATCCATGCTGTTCCCTATCAGTTTCTCTACTTGTAATAGGGTTTGTAGGCGAACAGCATGGATCCTGATCAGACGGCGCAGATGCGCATGCTGGTCTGGATCCATGCTGGTCGCAAACGCACTCTGTTGGTTTTGTCATGATGCGGCTCAAATGCTTTTAACCAGAATAAAAATTTACCACTTGGTGTGATAGATATTTTCCTGCTATCCTCATACATGCAAACTTTCATAATTAATGTTGCAGTACAATAAAATCAAAACTCGCTGATAATTGGGCTTTCCATTATACCAGGCAATAAAATGTTATGGTTACAAAATTATGGACATAGGAATGAAAACACGAAACTAAGTTTGCATAATTGCTTTTAAAGGGGTTTTCCATAATGTCAAAGTTTTAACACGTTTCAAATGTGTCTTTCTTTGATATACTTGTTCAATTCAAACGAGTCTTGTTCAGGACATTCTCTTTTGACTGGCACCTTCGAAAATATGTCGTTGAATTAGAACATTCTCATGAAGTTTTGTACTAAAATATATTGTTATCAAAGTGTTTGACTACAAGAGGTACATGACATATTTGTACATAAAGGTATATACAAATACAATACTTATAGACTTGTCATTAGAATGGTTTAAAGATATACTTAATTAAATATCATTGTATTAAATGTATTAACAGTAAATATTATAGAGTCTATTGTTTTCTTAACCTAATGGTATATACTCGAATTATGTATCTTTCTCATAGACCATGTCTGTTATTTAACATACATGAATGTTGTATGTGAACAGAATAAAATGTTTGGATACAAAAATTCATGCTGCATTTTGAGTAGGGTTTGGCAATGATTAGTATATGCGCCATTTGCTCTTAAAGGAATATACTAACAATTTTCTTTCGGATAGGCATTTTGAAAGTATTATTTTTCAATTTTTTGCAACAGATACTATATAGCTTTAAAGCAGTTTAAAGGCACGTTATGCCTAAGAAACCAATAAAACTGTTTACTTCATTAGAAAGGGCAAACATTATCATTATGATATTTAAAAGTCGGTATTAGAGCATAGTATAGATGCTTGATACCTCCAAAAATAGCGATGAATGTAAAAGCTTTCGCCATAGAAATGTAAACAAAGTAGTATTTTGACTTTCATGCAAAATTCCAAATCATTATATCTGTACTATTTGTCAAAATCAACAGGAGGAAAAGATGGTTCAGGTAATTGGCCAATGAGTAATTATTTGGAATCTATAAATTGAAGTGCACAAAAAAAAAAAAAAATTAGACTTTTGAGAAATAAAAATAAAAGTATTTCTAAGACGTAAATGGCCTTTTAAAGGTAGTGTAATTATCTGTAAATTATGTGACTTAATATTTAAAATGTCTGTCAATGATAAATTATTTAATTTATCCAGGAGTTGAACCCTAAAGACGACTCTCCAGAAGACGATGAATCTGTTAGCCTATTAAACAGGTACATATTTTATGCATATTTTGTTACTATTTGAATTCGCCTTAAATATTATGCTTTTGGATATATCAGTAAAGCAAAGTGTTTCCCTGGCGATTTCCATGTCCCCAGGCATCCGCCAGTGCGTCCGTACGTATGAGGTTAACCTAAACCGGCAAATTGGATTTTTCTTAAGTTCTATCGGACACTGTACTGAGGGCTTTATAATTCACTCACTTACTAATCAACACAAAGTACATGATCTGGGCAAGTTACATTACTATAGCTTCGACTTGTTCCAAGTTCTAGTCAACCTTAACCAGCACGTTGGATATATCTTAAATTTTCTTATACAGCCTTTGTAATATTTTATTATTAATTGTGTTTAACAAACACGTTCTTGTCCAAAATGCATGAAATCGTATTGTCAGAAACTACACTGTAACATACGTTAGTCTACACATTTAGTTATGCACCAAGATCTTACTAAATATGTAGACTTAAACCCCGGGAAAAATGATATCAAGCCATGGTTTGCTTTGAGTAAGGGTAAAATTAATTGCTAATGATCGTTTTGCATTTTCTATTTCTTCTGAATTTCTAATATGTGATTATCGGCCTGTCCAGTGGTGATATATAACGTTTTTTGTATTTTAAGTGTATCTTATTAATGATGAATTCTTTTAAAAGGAAAGTAAAGCCTCGGAAATCAACAATTGTTTCCTTCACTATAAAAAGGGCACAGGTGTGTTTATAATATTGTAATATTTGATTTAGGACATAAAAGATACTTATATCACCTGAAAGAAGAAAAGAGTTTTCTATGTGCAACAATTTATGATAAAGGTAGCAAAATGCAATTGTTATTTGACAGCTTTATTAAAACAATATAAGTAATTGTCCAAACGCAAGATTAGCAAAAGATGACCTTGACAAATGATCATTTTTGGAAAAATGTAACAGAGCATCAAAAATGAAAAATCCTTTGAAAAATAAAAATATCATTATGTTAAGACTTTATGGGCCTTTAAGTATACATTATTACTTTTTTGTTGTTTTATAGATATTATCGACCAGTGCCGGCTCGGAGAAGTGGTGATGTTTTGATGATGGAAGATGATGAAGAAGGAGAATATACTGAAAATTTTACCGTTGTATGAGGCCTCATATCGCTTGAGACAAACTAAAATTATTTGAACCGTAATTCAATGCTGATGCATTTTGTATCCATTCATCGATAATGTGGTATCATGTGGTATCGATTGACAATGAGGACAACCTTTGGTGATGTTCTACAACATGGATACAAGTTATTGTTGTTAAGACGGATTAAAAAAAACAACACAAAAACAAAAACAACACTGATTGAACATAAATATGTATGTGTATTCAAAAGTTCATGATGAAGACTGATATTGTCATGGCTTTCTTGCACGTGAGCTCTTTTGGCTTTGGGCCAAAATTTTTTTTGATCCGTATATTAGCAAATTAATCCGCAAAAGCTTTGCTTGAGTAACATCAATTTAGACAAATGAACTATAAATATCATCATTTGCTTTCATTGGATATAAGTATGTGTTGATCATCATTTTATGATATTAATAGTGAACACGCTTCATCCATATTTTTGGAATCAATGCAGGACCAGACCAATGGACAAATTAATAGTATGACATGTGTAACATTTTTTTGTTTAGATTCTTAGATTTCGATAAAGGTTGTATAATGTAAATAGAATGTTAGATAATTATGTTTTATGCTATACATTATGGATATATTTATCGTACATTTTATAGCAGTGATTGAGATTTAAATGCAGTTTTCTACTAAAACGTATAAACGGTATGCTACAGTATTGTGTGGTTGTTTTTGGTATGAGTATAAAACTGAAGGCTATATATGCTTCTGTGGCTGCAACGATATGTTATAATCTTTGAACTTCGTGCTGCTTTCAGTATTAAAGTTTTCTAAAAAATAAAATCTCATGTAACAGTATTACTTCAATAATGAAAAACAATATCTTCAGTTTTAAATCATAAATGATGAACGGAAAACTTCATAGTCCATTCTAGACTATTTTCTGTGAACATAATTATTCAATGTACCAAGTTATTTTGAATTTCAATATTATAGTATTTTTTCTTTCAATCTCTGTTTTTATTTAATTGATTTATTAACACGTGGTCAATGGAGACTGTATAAAGAAACGATTTCTATATAATTGTAATTTGTCATAAATTTTATACCATTTTGTGAGCTCTGAAGCGACAATATTTTTTACAATTGCGTTCAAGGTCTTAAATATGATACACAATTGCAAATTACGCTTTTTCCACAACACTATTTCTAAGCATTACATAATTTTCTCACAAGAAAAAGGAATCGATTTTTTATTGTTATAAAAACAGCATTGTACATACACACTACATTTTAATATTTAACACCATGTATATAGATATATATATCATATTAAAATTTTACTTATGTTAATACCTTAATGTGCTGAACTGTTACTATTGCGGTGATATATTTTATATCTTTATTTCTCTGCTAAAATTGTTACTAAGTTTTACTTTCGAAATGTATTTTATATTTTATTATGTATAAATTTCAATTTTAATTTGGGTTTTCTTGCAATGATGCATATCAGAAATTCACGGGCATGTGGAGAAATTGGTATTAAACGAATACGTTTTTTTTAAAAAAAAGAATGTAATAACCTTAATTACAAAAAGCAAAAATGGAATTGTCAAATTTGTTTGAATTATCAAATGTATATTATTTGTAAAAGCAAATTGTCCTGTCAAATGTTAAGAAGAACTTAAGTATGAAAGTGATGCGCCAAAGGCCAATTGTGTACTGAAATCGGGTGAGGATTTTTTCGATGTTTAACCAAAAGTACTAGTATTGTTCAAACAGTTTTAGTTGATTTGGTTTAAAAGAAAACATACCTGTATATAAATCAGTACAATTTACAATTTGACCAATTCGGTAATAAAGCATATATGCCTTAAGTCAAGGTAGCAAAAATGGAGCCCAGTTGTTGTATACAAAAACCTTAATGCCTTATTTTTCGGCAGCGCAAACTAAACCCATCTATTCACAAACAACCCAGTTGCCTTACCGACTGGCAGCATTATGATTCTGTCCAAAGAAAAAACAATTTTCGAGTTGGAGAAAACTCGAGTTCAAGGCAGCATTACTTGGCAATATGTTTAACACGAGGGGAAAGTGTTAGTGAAATGCAATTGTTTTTAACATTTTGTTTTCGTAGTATTAGAACACATTATCACTTCATTTTCATAATAAACTTTTGTAGCCCCAGTATTTGTTTGATAATCATAATTATATAAGATGTTTTTGAAAAATATTTTCATAATTAAATGAGGGGTATTGTATTTGAAATTAGGTCTCTCTACTGATTTCAGCACCAGTACATTTGTCAAGAACATTTACCTAGACTTTTAAAACAATTACACATATTTTTGAAGCAATCATAAAATTGATAGATAATTAATTTGAAAATATTTTATCTGTGTTAACGTATTTTTTTTCCATAACAAATTAGTTGCAAATGGTATGTCTAAGCATTATGAGCCAACCACTAACATTTATACGTGTGCTTAATTTATTTATAATTTCAGAGCAAGAAATGACGTAGGTTAGTAGTATATATAAAATTTAATTTAAAATCTTAAATTTAAGCACATTATATTGTTACGTATTAAATCTGGTTGCTGATTTTCTTTTTTCTATCTGAAACTATTTTACAATAAAGGTTTATCAGAATGTGAGAGACCTAAAACTGAGAATCTTGTCCCAATAGTTCATTACAAAGAACATTAACATGTATATACTTCCAACGCAGCGAATATCCTTGTTTTTATATACATGTATTTAATATATATATATTGTTGTTCAAACAGTAGTTTAATTCTATATTTATGCATGAATGGCGTACAATAGAATTCTTTCATGATAATTGTTACAACTTTTACAAATATAGTTTAATATAGAATTTTGATTTTCAAAAATTGTCTCTTAGGCCATTTAAGGGGCGTGCAATCAAAATATTAATGCTTAACATATGTACCTCCCCTTATTTGATTTACATTTGTCTAGTCAGTCTTGATAGAAGTAAGGGTTTTTATTATTTATATATCTATTTATTTCACATATACAATCCTTACATATATTTTAAATATAACTAAATTCTTTTATTGTGAAGCGTTATTTTAAAATTCAAACTCGAAAAAGAAACAACATAAAAAAACGTGTGTAACATTTGAATGTAAATTCAAATATGGAAACTGAAATATTTAAAGTTGCCTTTGACTATTTTTACAAGTCAATTTCATCAAATACTTTATTGAATTTACAGCATGTTTATATAAAACATATATTCTTTAAAGTAAATTAACTGGTAAAGCAAGGCGGAAAACGATAAAAACAACATTTTTTTTCTAGAGACATTCATATAAAAATATCATCATATTTATTGACTGTGATATTGAATTTGTCTTAAAATGTAAACGCCCGGATAATTCACCATCTAATAATGATTATATGATCCATGAGCATATTTTCACATTACATACTTTAATGAAAGTACGTCATCAAATTCACTAACATTACATTAATCTTTCTAGTCTTTTTTTATTTATATTATTTATATATTATTCATGATTGAAATATGCTTCATATTTACTGCTAATTACCTTGTTAAGATATATATGTTAGTTTATATGCTGATTGTTTTGTAGGTTATGCTTTAATCCTTTTACTGTAACTTATAAATGGCACATGCGTATTTAATATATTGCTCTGTTTAGCTAAATGAGCTTCCGTAATGTTTGAACGTTCTGATTTACCGTCAGAAAGAGGGTAGTGGTAGTATCACGTGAATTCCGAATCCAAAAACATCATATCTAAGATAAGTGTAACTTAAGATTAGTATTACGGCAAATTATACATTTATTGTTACATAAGAACACACATAAATATACAATCTGATTAAATTTTATATTTTCATTCGAATAAACGTTCTCCTATATGCAATTATACTTGATTAATTATATCAACATGATAAAAATAATATTTATACCGAGTAAAGCAAAGATGAGCTCATAAAAGTTGTACTTGGAAAATTTTGTATATATTTCACAGTATTAAATACATGCATTTCTTTTATTTTTAATTGATTAATTATATTTATCATGTGAACGAATGATTCATTCTGAAACATAAAAACGCTATAACAATGTATGCATATAGCTCTAAGTTATACATGTAACATGATACAAGTGTTTAAAGGGAAGTATTTCAGAATAAATCATTTTTTCGCTGATAAATTTGTAACAGTGTGAAAACATTCGGATAGTACCAAATCAAAATTAAAAAAAGCTATGGTAGTATCCGAGTGACACCAAATGAAGTTCCGATACGTGTAATCTGTAACATAGAATACAATTTCGTGTTTGTCAAATTACTATTAAATGTATAAAGCTTATTTCCGTCTTTGTTGTTTTTTTTCTTGCCAATAACACATTAAGACGACATTCACTAGAAAAGAGTTTTGTGAAATTTGAGAAATTTGAGAAATGATAGTTTCATTAATAAAAGATCAACATTTCAAAAGTCTTTGAGAAGCCGAACCCTTGGAAAACTTATAGGAGTTATTATACTTAAATATTTTATCTAAAGCACGGCTAAGATTAATAACAATGTGGCGTATAAATGAGGCTTTCTTTAGCTGATAAGTGAAAGAAATACACAAGAGTACCATGAGGCTAAGACTTACATTTGACTGTGCATCTAGTGCATTACCAAGATAATGATTGTTTTAACCGCTTGAGTGCTATTAGTATTTCTAAAATGATTCTTTCGATGATTTAATGACCACAGTGTTTTTGGTGGTATGTTTTGTTTTGTTTTTTTAAAGTATACAAAATTAAAACGGCCCTTTATATATAAACACATTTCCTGACAAAGTATGCAAAACTTTACACAGAGTTTGAAATTAATTTCAACTTTTGTAAATGAACTGATTCAGTTTGATTCAAATCGCCCACTTAAATGTTACGGTGGATTTAACATGTATTTTCAACCAATACTTTTATGATGTTTTGTCACGAAATAGTTTGCACACTATATCCGATTAAAGATTGTCATAAAATAAGATTATTGGATAGTCGACCAGTAATGTCACCTTAAGGAATGAAACGCGCTTTGATTTTTTTCGTGTAAAATGAAAAAAAAATCGTCAAGAAATGCAATGAAAAACAACATTTGAAAATAATTACAAAATGTTCAGGCTATTTCTGTTAATAATACATTAATCAAGGTTTAATTATGAACGTTGCTATGGTGATGTTATTGACCTTTTTTGGCATGGAATGCTTGAAATGTTATGGATTATCTTTAACGTCCAATAAGAAAACTAAAATTAAAGTCTACAAAATAATGCACATGAAATGATCGAGACATACAAAGATAGAAAAGAAGAATTTTCTTTTGTATAAAATTTTATTCAATATTTTGTTAATCATATTATTTGATATTTCATTTAAAATACGTTATATAATACCTTCTTTTAAACAAAACAGCTACGTATTGTTTTGCTTTATTATAAATCATTCGATTTGATTTCCAGACTTGATATGAATACACATTGCCAAAAAAGAGTTCAACCACAAGATAATGTCGAACCGGGTGACAGTTTTGGACACAGAAAAGTAGATTCTTGTTGATGCATCTTGTAGTTTCAGAGTTATGTCCCGGACAAAGTTCAAAATGTAAAAATCAATACAGGGAAATAACTCCAAATTTAGACATAACAGAGTTACCGTTTTTATGTTCTGCGCTTCTACTCAAAGAGATCTATCTACCTACAAATTTTCATTTTTATACCTGTTGCAGTTTCAGAGTTATGTCACGGACAAAGTTCAAAGTGTAAAATTAAATAAAAGGCAGTAACTCCAAAATTAGGCAAGGCACAGTTACGGTTCTTATGCACTCCACTTTTACTCATAGCGATCTATGTACCTACAAAGTTTCTTGTTGATACCTATTGTAGTTTCAGAGTTATGTCCTTGACAAAATACGGACACACAGACGGACATAACGGATGGTCAGACAAGGCGGCGACTATAGGCATGATCTGCAAAAATGTCTTTTTCATGACAAAAGCGTATGCCCAACTGTTTTCTTGACTATGTTGACCTAGTTCTACAAATAGTTTTCTTATGTACGTTGTTTACCTGACGTTTATCTTTTAGGTAAAGTCCTAGAAGTGTTGTACTTGTCATGTTAACTTATGATCATATGAAAAAAAATCTAAGTTTCTGAAACCCCATCACAGTGAAATCTTACAAGAAATAAAACACCTCTGTCACAGTCAGTCTCTCGTTTAAAAGGTTTACTCTTTTTATTATGACATTTGGTCTTTACGAAATTTGTCAAAATGATATATGTAAACGTCAGCCTTACAAATTAAAGATCCTGTATGTTGTAATAAATATAACAGCGAACATTATAATTAAACGTTGAAATTAATGCATTCATTTTTCATTTTTTATTGAAAAAAAGAAAGAAAAAAGAACTGGCTTAGACTTTATCGAAAGTAAGTTTCTAATTACCTCCCTTTGTTTACATGAAATGTTAAATTCTGTAATATCTTTACAAATAATGCTTTTTT